ATCTTTGTATCAGTCCAAGTGTCTTGAATATAGTTGGTGTAAGTACCATAAATGTCTAAGCACAAATAAATGTTTATTGCATTAAATCTTTCTTTCTTGCACTTATTGCACTAAAATGAATGTAAAATGCCTGCCTTTGAATGAGACCATCCCTTAAGCTTCCCAAATGTCAAGGACTCTATGAAAAGAGAATTTTTCTGCTGCCTGTTTCATTCATGAAGCTGTTCCAGGTAGCTACTCCAAATTCCTCATACATTACATGGAGACCGTTTCCTCCCTTTCTAGGGGAAGATGGGCAGAGCACAACTCGTCATCATGTCACGTTACATAACAGTGTATCCCACCCACTCCTTGGCAGAGATCCTCTTAAATGTTAGAGAGATACTGGGAGTGTCCTTGGATGGATATGCAAAGTATCTGAAAGGGTATAGGGGAAGTGGAAGCAGATGCTGTCCACCCCCTCCGTGATGCAGACTGTACCCTTATGAGACAGACAGTATCTTGGGCACAACAGCTAGAGATGTATAACTGTAGCCTTTGTGTGGGTTGGGAGATGGGGTCCTGGGAAAGAAGTGAGGGCTTGAATTAAGAATTAAAATAGAAACTCAGGTACCATAAAACATAAAGAAGAAAAGGCTACAGGGACTCAGGACGCCTCTCTAGCTGATTCAGTCAAATGAGTGCTGGACTGCAAAATTATACCTGAGTTTTTCAGTCTGATGTGACATCAGACAAGCCACCTCCCTTCTCTGACCCACTCAATTTCCTCCTCTTTTGAAAGGGGACAATAACCTGGTCTCTATCTTCCTCAAAAGGTTGTTTCAACCATCACACCAGATCGTGGTTATAAAAGGCTTAGAAAGTATGATCTACGGTATTAATGGGAAGTAGTATTGCATCACTTCAGTTCATCAAAAGAGCTGCAGTTTCATTCATTTGAATACAATGGTCACTGTAGCCTATTAAAATCTCTTTATACCTTAGTAGGTAAAGTTTTTCATGAGCTACTGTGACCAAAAGAATTCATTATCTCGTGGCCAGCCTTCTTAATTTAACTAGGCTGGATGCTAGACAACATATGCCCAGTGTGTTCTCAGGTACATACCTGAGCCCTATCTTGCTTAACAGCACCTGCTAGAGTCTTTAAAATCTGAGAGGGCAGGAAGCATGCCTTATCTAAAAATTGTTTCTTTCCTAACACCTAGAACATCACACTGTACATAGCAGGCACTAGATAAATATTTGTTGATTTATGGTGATCTTTTGGCATAAACTTCAAGAACCCAGGTATACTTATACCATAATGAAGCATCAGAGGAAGAATTTAGAGGAGCATTAATCTGATTATTGTTATTATAATAAAGCCTTCTCTGAAGGATTCCCTGACCCTCATTTTCTACATGTACATTTGACATAGCAAGATCCAGGGATTTCTGGTGCAGCAAGAAAGATTCAGGTAAGAAGCAAAAAAAGGACTTACTGTTGTTGAAAGTTGTAAGACACTGGAATATGTAATCTGGATTAGGACACTATTTCCTTTTCCCAATGACTTGAAAAAATTCAGAAGACTCCTGTCTGTCCTGGGGATAAAGAGATAGTTAAGATGACCTCCAGAGGTCTTTGCCTGGGGAGAGGAAGCCAAGCTCACTGCTCACAGTAATGCCTCTATTGGACTTCTCTCCCCTGTCCCCACCACTTGGGCCCTCTTCAGAGTATAGTTCTGGCCCCTTTTCTTCCCTGTGACATACCTCTCGGCCCACACTACTGGCCACTCACTCACCCTAGCTTGGGGCCAGAGCAAAGACCAGGGCAAATGCAGTTCTAGGATCTAAGATTCAGTCAGCTTTATCCTAGATCTCTGGGGACAGCTAGGGAGTAGGGAGTAAATTGAACATGGAAACTAGGGACTAGGGGACAGTGGGAATGTATGGTCCCAGCTGCTAGAAGCAGAACTGAGATTTGAAGAGCGGCCCCCTTTCACTCAAGTCACACCCTACTGAGCTCTCAGAATTTTTTCATTTGGAAGGCCTGCACTCGAGGACTAAGCATTACTTAAAAAAATGTCAAGGGTATTATTAGCCAGGAACTTTGCTTTGTGCTGGGAGGCTCAGTGCTAGTCCCTTCTCTCACTCCATTCTCATCATTAAGGACTTCCCCAGGGAGCAGGAGTCTCTAGGGGTCAGGCTAACCAGTCTCATATTTCTAGGATGGTAAGAAGGAAGAGAAAGAAAAAAAAATACTTCAATCCACATTCTGAATTTATCACGTCTCTATCTGGAGGCAGCAGGAGATTTCATCATGACTCCTTTGGAATTGTGGTTGATCATTGTGTTGATCAGAATTCTTAAATCTTTCAGGACTGATTGTCTTTAAAATAGTTTTTATTGTATACATTCTTCTCCTAGTTCTCACTTCACTTCAGTTTATAGCAATTCATACAAATCTTCTCAGGTTGTTCTGAAATGATCCCCTTCATAATTTCTTACAGCACAATACTATTCCTTTAATTTCATACATGATAATTTGGTTAGCCGTTACTCAAATAATGGGCAACCCCCTGGTTTCCAATTCTTTATTGCTATAAACAATTTTTTTACATATGACATTTTTGTGACACTGCTCTCTACTGGTTCTCCTTCTATTCATCTGATCTATTCTTTGCTAGATTTCCATCCAGGTAATGCCTACTAACAGTAGATGACCCCTAGGGCTTTGTTCTAAGCCGTCTTCTCCCTCTATACTATTTTACTTGGTGATTCGATAGGTTTCCATGGATTCAATTATCATCTCAATATTGATGATTCTTAGATCCATTTATCTAGCCCTAATCTCTCTGATTTCTCCAGTCTTACATCTCCAACTCCCTACTGGACATCTCAAACTGGATTTCCCATAGACATAATAATCATAACATGTCCACAATAAACTTGCTATCTTCCCCTACTCCCCGCCCACCACCCTCCAGGCTTCCTAAATGTCCTATTCATTGTTGGGGGTGCCACCACCCTCCAAATCAATCAGGCTGGAAATTTAGGTGTCATCTTCAACCTCTCACTCTCTCTTACCCCCCACTATATCAAGTCTGTTACCAAGGCCTGTTGATTTTACCTTTGTAATACTTTCCATATTTTCCCTTTCTCTCCCTTGATACTACCACCATCCTGGCGCAGGCCCTCATCACCAAATACTTGGACTATTGCAAAAGCCTGCTAGTTATGGTTCTCTGTCACTAGTCTCTCTCTACCTCAATCAATTCTTGACTCAGAAAATTGATCTTCCTTAAAGCATAGATCTGATCATGTCGATCCCCTACTCAACAAACTCCAGAAGCCCCATAACAACCCCATAATTCAAATAGAATATTCCCTGTTTGGCATTTAAAAGCCTTGATAACATGGCCTTCTCCAACTTCACAGTCTTCTTACAAACTACTCACCCACATATACTTTGAAATCCAGTTACACCAGCCACATTGCAGTTCCTCAAACACAAAACTCCCTCTCTTGACTTGGGCCATTTTTTACTGGCTCTGTACTTTATGCTTGGAATTCCCTTTCTCCCCATTTCCAAATCCTGGTTTCCCTGGCTTCCTTCAAGTTCCAGATAATGTCTCACCTTTTACAACTTTTCCTGATACCCTTAATTCTAATGCCTTTCTTCTGTGGATTATCTCCAATTTTTCCTATATCTTAACTATATATAGCTGTCCACATGTTGTCTTCCCCACTGGATTGTGAGCTCCTTTAGAAGAGGGCCTGTCTTATGCTTTTCTTTATATTCCTATAGCTTTGCACAGTGCCTAGCACATATTAAGTGCTTAATAAATGCTTGTTGACTGACTGATTGCAGGGCAGGTGACACCAATTACACCAAGTACAGGAAACAGGAAACAATAAAGGAGGCACCACAGGCACAGGAGGAACCACTGAAGGTTTTGGGCTCCAGTGTCTAGCAGGTTCACTCTTGATTTGGGCAGCCAGAAGGACAGGAAGACAGCTTTGGAGGGGTTAAATAATATACTTTATTCTTATTCTTCTCTATCTAATGGGGTTGCTGATGATGGGAGTACCAGCTCCCCACAGCATCCCCTAATTATTCTTCTCCCAAGGGTGGGCAAGAGTAGTAGGAACACAATTCCTACAGGTTCCCCTAAATCTTGATGGGGGCCAGTCAAGATAAGTACACACATTCACATATCCCCCCAAACCTTGATGGGGGCCGATCAAGGCACACACAGCATTCCAGCTAGTGCATTCCCCCACTAAGTCTCAATGAGGGCCGTTTGAGGCAGACACATATGCACTTGCCTATGCATTCCCCAAATCCCCACTTATTGACCAGTGCTCACCTGATTTATAAGGGAGCACACAAAGAAGGCAATTTGCCAGCAATAGCCTCCCAAGTTTACACTAACTCTAGCAATATTATGCTGACTAAGCACTGTGCAAGTGCAGTAGATTATTGACAATTAAACTCAAATGCTTACATTATCTCATCCCTATATTTCATTGTGCAGTCACAGTAGAAACTGTTTATAATGTGAAAACCTGGGAACTAGAGATTGTTTTGGCTATGGATCCTGTGAACTATTATCTAAAAAAAGAATAACAAGATCCACCTTACTTACACTGATATTCTTCGCCTTCATGGATTGGTGGGATGGAGGAGACCCTGTAATAAGATGTGAGGACTATGTTTGGACAAAAATTGAGTGTTTTGTCTATAAAAGGGAACTGAGGCAGAGGACTGGGATCTCTTTACCTTGTTAGCGGTTCCCCCCACCCCCATCCCAACAGCACTCTACCTCCTAACTGCTTTCCCAGGACCCTTTTCTTTACCTGCTTCAGATTCATTCATTCACTCACTCATTCATTCTTTTAAAAATGGCAAATTCTGTGCTATGAGCTGGGAATATAAAGACAAAAAACAAAGAAAGTTTGATCTTTCTTTCCCTCTTGTGGCCTTCACAGACCTCTTACTCTTACTTCTGCTCTGGGGAGAGAAGGGCTGTACTTCCAGCCTCACACCTGAGAATAGTTTGGTCACAGTGCTATGGGTTTTAGCTCTGGATTAGGGAAGGTGGACCTCTAAATTAACAGAATCATAGGGAAGGTCAGGATTAAAGCATCTGGGAGTGGGGATGTGTTTACTACTCTAGCTTTCCCAACTGGCTTCTCCACCCTTTCATTGTCTTCCTGCTCAGACTTACTTTCAGTTCCCCTTAATGATCTTTGGGTGTGGTGTCTTGGGCTCTTTCTTGGCACCCCAAGTTTTGCCCCTCTGGTTTAGACACCACCACATACATTGAAAGATCTACTGAGAGCCTGAAGGACACAAGTCATTTTGAACCATGAGAGGGTAAGTGTTGCTTTTTTCCCCCCTATTCTCATCATTAGTCTTCCATGGTTCTTTATCCCTTTTTCTCTTACCCTCCTATCTCTCCCTCCTTTAACCTATTATCTTCCTTTTCCAAGTTCCTCTCTTCCTTCTTCCCCCACTTCTTCTGGTCCCTTCCAGAAGCCCTGACCCAGCCTCTGTCACTCTTAGACTAAACCCTTTCCTATCTCTTTCCATTATCCTTGATTTACCAACCTTCGATTAAAGTAAAACCCGAAACAATGAGGCACCCTGAGGTGAATGCTTTCTGGGCAGGAACCTGGCTACAGCATGCTGGCTTGGTGTGGGAGGTGGAGGTTCTTGAGAACCCAAGCTGAGGCAACCAATGGTGCCGCTATTTCAGTGTCACAGATTCTCAGTGTGTTCAATCACAGCTATTCTGTCCCCTCTCAGGGAAGAGTATTAGGTATTTGCATCCCAGCACTGAGCCTTAATGGAGGACATTCTCGGTATCATAGGAGAGGAAGAGGGAGAAGGTCTTTTATACTGTGTTGCGAATACAGTTGTAGCTATGATTATGGACTAAAAACAGGGGTGGGCTGGTAAATGTTTAGGGCACATTTTAAAATTTAATCTGCATTATTAACATTTCCTCCAACACCTTCCTAAGTCTAGACAACCAACAAAACCATAAATCAAACCTTGATCTGTAGCTCTGATTTTCTAGGTGGAAATGCTCACACTGAGCATTTAATAATTAACTTCATAGAGCCAGTTCAAGCTGGTTCAAAAACACCTCTGCCTGAGAGCCTATCTGCTTACAGCTACTGTTGTCATTTGTCCTTTGCTCTTGAAGAGGACTATGACATCAGGAAGGCAATGTCATAACTATTACTTATACAAACACAGAGTATCTGATCCAGGGAAACCTGGCTTCCTTCAAGATTTGGCTCAAATCCCACCTACTGCAGGAGGCCTTTCCCGACCTGATCCCCATTCTTGAGACCATCCCCAGCCCCGCTTCTAGTGCCTTCTCTCTGAGATGACCTTTTACTTAAATGCACACACACATGCATGTACCCATGTATGTATATATGTGCATGTATGTGTATGTATAGATGAGAACATGTAAAATATGCATTTCATATATATATATACACACATGTAATACACACTATTTTACGTGTTCTCTTCCCCATTAGTGTGTGAACTTCTTAAGGGCAGGGACCTTGTTTTGCTTTTCTTTTTATACACAATGTAAGCATTGTCTGGCACAGTGCCTGGCACACAGTAAGCACTTGTTGACTAACTAGACCCTGGGCAGCCAAGTGTCAAAGTGGATAGAATTCTGGGCCTGGAGTAAGGAAGACTCGTCTCCTTGAGTTCAAATCTGGCCTCAGACACTTACTAGCTGTGTAAGCCTGGGCAAGTCACTTAACCCTATTTGCCTCAGTTCCTCATCTGTCAAATGTGCTTGAGAAGGAAATGGCAAACCACTAGAGTATCTCTGCCAAGAAAACCCCAAATGGGGTCAGAGAGAACAGGCACAACTGAAATGACTGAACAACAACGACAATAAACTGGACCTCACTCAAGAAACTTCATTGACTACCAACTGCCTACTATATCATCAGTTCCAAACTCTTTATTTAAGACCCTCCCTAATCTGACACCCATACAAATCAGTTGCTCTGTGAAGATTCTGGTCTTGAATGTTTAGACTTGGATGAATTGAGTCACAATTTAGCAACAACTTCTCTCAACTAAACCAGTCAATGGAGGTACTGCTAAAGGAGTCTACATTATCCTGGCTCTCTTACTTATTGTGTGACCTTCTGCAAGTCATTTAAGCTTTTCAGGTCTGAGTTTCTTCACCTATAAAATGGTGTTGGAACAGACTGGATGAACTTCAAGGTCCCTTCCAAATCAAAATCTATGACCTTTGTATTTGGCTTTACATTTTTCATCTTTTATGAATATTTATTTCCAGTGTGGGGCACCAAGCCCTGTTTCCCCCTTGCCCTCCATTCAGAAACCTTCTGCATTTGATCCTTCTTTACAAGTTCCTTCCCTTTCTCTGCTGCTGCCTAAAAATTGTTGTGCTCTCTTTGAGCACCTACTTCTGTTTTCCCACTTCTGCTGCCTGCCTTTACATAATACAGACACAGGAGTGTGTGATTTTTTTTTTAAAGTTTATTTACAAAATAAAAGAGAATGCATAGATATGGAAGTAATGCACCAGGCTAAAGTCATTAGAATTCTTTAAAGCATTTATTTTTTTTTGTATTTACATCATCTTTATTTCCAAACATCTCTCTTCACTCTTCTGTCCTCAGAAAGATATACCTTGTAACAAAGGAGGGGAGAAGGGGAGGCAACTGGGCAAAACTAACCAACACAATGACTGAGTCTGACGGCACATGCAATGTTCTGAGAAACATTTCCCTACCTCTTCAAAGAAAAGATTTGAGTTTTCTCTTCTCTTCTTCAGGAATCATTACAATTCTAAGTATAATCACCACTCCCAGTAACTCTCCTCCTATACTTCTCCATTTTCCAGTCAGTGTTTTTAAAAGTTATCTACACTCATTGCCTCCACTTACTTCCTCTTCTCCTCTCACTCTTATAAACCTTATGCAATCTGACTTCTAACCTAATCACTAAATTGAAACTGCTCTCTCCAAAGTTACCTTGACCTCTTAATTGTGAAATCTCATGGACCTGTCTCAATCTCTAGGAAGCATCTAACACTTTTCATCACCCTCTCCACTTGGATCCTCACTCCCTCTTTCTGGGGTTTTCCTGATCCATCATCATCTTGAGGGCATAGCCTCCTTGGTGACTCTCTCCACTCACTTCTCTCCTTCCCCACAGTGGTTGAATGGAGGAGCTGAAATACTCCTTGTTTCCAACTGCCACTTCTAATTCTCTCCCTGCTACCACCACTCAGTAACTTCTCCTTTGAGGCTCACTCAATCTACATCTACCAACTAACCAAAATTCTGCTAGCTGTTGTCTACCAACCTCCAGGACACTTCCTTCTACCCTCAATAAGTTCAGTGCCTGGCTGGCAGTCTTTTGTCCCCAACTCCTGCCCTCATACCAGGGAAGTTAACATACAGATTAATACTCCCTAAAACAATCTTGTTGTCCAATTGTTTCAGTTGTGTCCGACTTCATGACCCCATTTGAAGTTTTCTTGGCAAAAACACTAGAGCGGTTTGCCATTTCCTTCTCCAGCTCATTTGACAGATGAGGAACTGAGGCAAATGGGGTTAAGGGACTTGCCCAGGATCATACAGCTAGTAAGTATGAGGCCAGATTTGAATTGATGAAGATGAGTCCCTGACTTCAGGCCCGGCACTCTATCCACTGTTCCACCTAGCTGACTTCAAACACCCTTGTAATTCCCAGTAACTCAACTTGTTATTTCCTATGACTTTCTTCTCTACTCCATCTCAGCTACACAGAGAGATGGTTGTATCTTTGATCTTACCATCACCCACAAATGCTCCATACTTCCATGTTCATAAACTCTGAAATTCCTTTATGTGTTCAAATCAAAATGGATTTGTCCATCAACTTCTCTTCTTTGCAAACTTAAATCCCATTCTTCATCCTCACTAACACTTTTAATTGCTTGACTGCTCAGTTCTTTTTCCAGCTATCATTTCTGCTTTGGTTGTATTCTCCTCCATTCTCCATCTTGACCCATTGGAGAACCAGTTAAACTCTATACTATCTTCTCTTAAATACCTGGCCCCTTTTACTATTGCCAATATTGTCCTACTAAGCCCCACCTCTGTCCCTATTCACATGCAGCTGAGCTAAGCTGGATAAAATGACAAAACTCTCCTGGCTGGAAGTACTAACAATTTATGATACATTATCTGAATTGGGCCCTCAGTAATGCAAGGTAATCCTTTTATGACTCTCTAATTGATTCACTAACCAATTCACCACAACAGCTTTTCTAAACTTTTTATCCCTCCTCAAATAACCCATGGCTCCCTCCGTATCCCTTGCCATTCGCTCAGCTAAGGTTCTTGCCTCACATTTCACTGAAAAAATTGAGACCATTCACTGAGAGTTCCCTCTTCCCTCTCCTCATCTCACATCACTCATATTCCTTCTGCCACTATCTCTACCTTCATCCATCTCACGTGAAAATGTAGCCCCTTCTCCTTGCCAAAGCAAACCCCTCTACATTAGAAGTGAATCCTTTCCATCCCATATTCTCCAGCACAATGCCCTTTCAACCATCCCTGTGTTCTTATTTATCTTCAATCTTCAGTCTTCTCCCCATCTGCCTGCTTCCCTGATGCCTACACCGTTTCTCTTTCATTCTCAAAAAACCCTTGCTTGATCCATCCATCCCCACCAGCCTTTAACCTTTATCTCTCTTCTCTTTTATGATTAAGCTCACTCACTGAGAATGCCATCTGTAGTCACTGTGTCCTCTTCTTATACTCTCATTCTCTACTTAGCTCACTACAATCTGGTTACTAACTTTATAATCCAATTAAAATTTCTCTCTCTCTTAAAGTCACCAATGATCTCTTAATTGCCAAATTTAATGGCATATTCTCAAGCCTCATCCTTTTTGATCTCTCTGTAGCCTCTGACACTATCAATCACCCTCTTCTTGACACTGTCTTCTCTCTAGGTTTTTATGACACTGTTCTACCCTGGTACTACTACCTTTCTGTTTCTTTATCAGTCTCCTTTGCTGGATCTTCATCCTGGTCAGATTGGCTAATGGTGGGTGTCTCTGGGGTTTTGTCTTATGCTCTCTTGTCTTTTCTCTCTATAGTATTTTTGCTTGATGATATCATCAGCTCTCAGGGATTAAATTACCATCTTAAACTGGATGTCCCATAGGTATCTTAAATTCAACATGTCCCAAACTGAACTCATTGTTTCCCCCAAAAACTTTTCCCACTCCAGACTACCTTATTACTGTCAATATTACCAATCATCCTCTAGTCAGCCAAACTCAAAACCTAGGTGTCATACCAACTTCAGTACTAGATGACCCCCCCCGCCCCCCTCCTCCTGGCTTCCCTGGCTTTCTTAAAGACACAGATGAAATATCACCTTCTACAAGAAGCCTTTTCAGATCTCCCTTAATGCTAGTACCTGCCCCCCTGAGAATATCTCCAATTTATTCTATATATATCTTGTTTGTACATAGTTATTTGCATGTTGTCTTCAGCATTAGATTGTGAGTTCCTTGAGATCAAGGACTGTCTTCTGCTTTTCTTTGTATCTCTGACACTAAGTACTCAGCTGGACATACAGGAGGCACTTAATAAATGCTTCTTGACTGACTTACACGTCTGGTTCTTACTGAATTTTTTGCTATTTCCTAATGATTATTGGTTTCCTTTTAAATACTTGGAAACTATCAATTTAACAATTCACTATCATTTTTTTTTCCAGGGATCATCATTGTGATCAGCAGTCTGATACCATCATTTACCTTTTTTTATTTTGAAAATGTGGCTGTTTACTCATCTCTGGACTTCTATCACTTCTCCCATTTCTCATCATTCTTTCCTGACAAGAAACTTCAGTCATCGATAAAGAATATCTATAGGTACAGGAAAAGGTATTCTAAGTTTATCAATTTAGCCACTTTCCTCTTTACTGACCCTGAAGATCCAGTATTGGGGAAGAGATGGCAGTGAATACCAGACAGAGACTAGTCCAGTACTTAGGGGAATTGAAGGAGGAGGAGCTGAAGACATTCAGGCTGCTGCTGAAAAATTATCTTCTAGGGAAAGAATTTTTAAAAAAAAAACATCAGAACCAGCTAGAGAAAGCTGGTCATACTAAAATGGCCTCCATTATAGTCAATATCTTTGATGACCAGAGAGTATGGGATGTTGTGATGAGAATCTGGGAGAAGATGGAATTGAAGGAGCTGTGTGAAAGAGCAAAGGCTGAAGATCCTCTGATGGGTGAGTAAAGATGTAAAGACTTCAACCTAGGGAAAGCTACCTTATAACTACTACTCCTCATGCTCATGTCCTCCCTAATTGTTCACACTCCAAGTTGTGTGTTTTCCTTTCAAACATGTCAATTTTTGTTGAGTACTACCATCCTTCTAGCTATCCAGGATCAGAACCTTGGAACCATCTTTTACTCTTCCTTTTCCCTCACTATCCATAACCAATCAGCTTTCAAGCATCATTAAACTTAAGTCCACAATATCTCTAGCTAGCATCCATCCCCTTGTCTCTACTCAGACACAATCTCTAACCTAGTTCATTATCTCTTCCATGGACTATTACAACAACCTCTTGTTTGACTTACTTTCAGTTTCTACTCTTCTCCTATCCATGCCCTCATATAGTAGCCAAATTGATATTCCTAAAACACAGATCTTACCATGTCACTTTCCTATGCAAAAATTTGCAATAGCTCCTTATTGTTTTTAGTATAAAATATAAAGGCTAGACATTTAGCCAATTCTACAACATGATCCCATTTACCCTTACAGTCTTATTTTATATTATTCCCCTTCATGAACTCTCTACTCTATTCAGACCTATTAGCCATTTTCTGTGCATGGTATTTCATCTTCCACATCCATGCTTTTGCACAGGTGATCTTCTATGTTTACCTCTCAGAATTCCTAGTTTTCTCAAAAGTATAGTTCTGGTGGCAATTCCTACTGAGGTCATTCCTGATGTACTCAGCTAGTGCATTTCTTCTTTGTTATACTTTGAACTTATATATATGTGTTCCCATGAAGCTCAAAGATAGCTAAAATATGTTTTTTTTTCTTTTTGTATCCCCATGACCACTACCTTGCACACAGTAAGTGCTTAGTAAGTCTTTATTGAATTAATTTGAATTGAAATTAGTATGTCTATATCCTCTACCGGCCCGTAGATTCCTTGAAGGTAGGTCTTTACATCTCCATTCATTATCAGATTATTGCTTGCTCTCTTATAATTGCCAATATTTCTATGGAGCAACTCAAATAATGATTAGTGTGACTCGCCATAAATACTATCATACGTATAAAGCAGATAAAATTGCTACATTTGAGATCTTTGTTTTAGAATCATATGGTACCCATACTGAAGTATGGACTAGCCTTCTGATTACACTTCCTTTTTCTAAAGTTAGATGCCTTTCCATATTCCTTGCTTTGGTTATCTTAGTTCTTTCTACTATGTGTTACCCCAGATTAAGTGGATTTCCTGGAATTCCTGCCAAACTTTCTTTAGAAAGAGCTTCTTTCTTCCCAGACCTGTTACCTGTACTATCTAGCGTATATGTGAACCCCATAGTGACTGGGGGAGGTATAGTTATTAGAATAGGAAGGCTTCCTATACTTGGGAATGGCCAAGGGAACTCTCAAAGTAGGAGAGAAATAAAAATTGGGGCTACTGGGAGGGGTTTCTGGAGTCATATGAGGAGATTCTGAGCACCTGAGTATCATGTGGACTTTGAGTATTCACCTTTTCCTAAAGGTTCTATTTCTTGGGGAGGAATAGGTTTACTCTAATATATGTATTCAACATTTCCAATGAGAAAGTGAAGCAATGGTCACCTTCACCTTCATTAAGCCTTTATGAAAGTACAGATTAGCTGACTACTTGGAATAGAATTCATGCTTTAGGTTCAAATTGAACTAAATTATCTCTGAGGTCTCTTTCAACTCTATGATTCAACTCTAATAACACTGATTCAAGTAGTCTGCACAGTCCCACATATACAGGTATTCTTTCCTGGTGACCTATCACTTCTATTCCTTCTATTCTCTGGCTTGTTGTTGGCAATTCAGAGCCTGTTTTCCCTGGCACTGGCAATTCAGAACGTTGTAGCACTGGTGCTTCCAGGTTGCAGCCCCTTGGCAGACTTTTGTTCCTAAAGGGCTATGGCTAAATTGGCTGTCAAGTCCTAAGCAAAGGAGCAAGGGTCTCTATGCCATTGGAAACAGGAAGGGGGGACAAGAGTATAGTGGTGGGTTCTCATGAAAGACTGTATCATATTCTTGGGTCTGCTAGTGCAGCCTTTCTGCTAGTAGCATGGGAGGTAGGGGAGAAGCACTCAGTGAGCTTACAGACAACTAATGTTAGGTCCTGTTTTTATAACTTTCTGTTGGATTCTGGGCATCCTAAACAATAGACACAGCTGAACTTGCTTTATCTTTGGCACATTTTTTGCTTTGTTTTGTAGAGGTCTGAAAGGTTATACGAATTAGAGAAAGTGTCTGGTCTGTACTTTTGTTGTTCACATGACCCACAACAGTGAGAACTCTAGGTTATGCATGCCCAATTATTTTTTTTTTCAAGTGGATACAACTGAGCCTTAGGTTTTAAGTATCCCTCACATTCCCATATAGCTTTTCACTACCCAAACAGGAAAACCTAAAGGCAACCAAGATAGCTCTCTGAGCACCTTTCTCCACCAAACTATTGGGAACTTTTTAAGATTCCTTGTATTGGGAAAAGAAATAGTGTATCTACAATATTTGAGGAGACAGAAGGGGCCTTTACCTCATTAGTGTTAGCCAAGATTTGTCAGTATCCCTGTGGCCTCAGGGACAATTATTGGTTTCTCTAAAAGTTATTTGGAAAACTTTCTGGGGCTCAGACATGGAGATCTGAGATTGATAATGAAATATATATTTAAGGCCACTGAGGACTTAAGTCCAGGCACATACTTTTACTCTAAGGACTCTAGAGATGGCCCAATTAGAGATAGAGACCGATTAACTTGTATTTTTCATGTTTTTTCTCACTGTCATAGGTAACAGAAGAAAATATATAAACAGAATGAGAGAGAAATTCAGTCTTACTTGGGATGGTAGCTCTTGTCTCAAAAACCTTGGAGACTTACACAAGGAATTCACACCTCTTCTGCTTCTGTGTAAATCCAGAGAACCAGAGAATATACCCATGGAAAATAAACATAACTCAGTCATGACAAAACAAGCACACATCATTGACATAACAGCATTATTTGGGCCTGATAAGAAACATGTTCCACAGACTGTTGTGCTACATGGTGCTCCTGGAATTGGGAAAACAATACTGACAAGAAAGATAATGCTAGACTGGGCACAGGGAGACCTCTTTCAGGACAGGTTTCAAAATGTTTTTTACCTGAACTGCAGAACACTAAACCTTATGTTAGAAATGAGTTTAGCTGATCTGATTTCCAAAGATTGGCCAGACTTCCAAGTACCCATAGAGGCAATTATGTCCAAGCCAAAAGCACTCCTTTTCATTATTGATGGTTTTGAGGAACTGAAGTGGCCCTTTGAGGAACCTAAATCTGAACTATGTCACCACTGGGAGGAAAAGCATCCAGTGCCTATACTCCTGGGCAGTTTACTAAGGAAAACAATATTTCCCAAGTCATCCTTACTGATCACTACACGGCCCTCAGCTATGGGAATGCTGAAGTTCTTACCAGACAATCCACACTGTGTAGAGATCCTGGGATTTACTGAAGCTAATATTGAGACATATATCTCTAAGTTTTTCAAAACTGAAGCTAAGGTGCTAAAAGCCCTCAGTGTGATAAAAGCCAATGATTCTCTGCTGAATATGTGTTCTGTCCCCCTGGAGTGCTGGATTGTCTGCACTTGCCTGAAACAGCACATGGAAAGAGAAGAGCCCATGTTGATTCCCCAAACCACCACAGCTCTCTATGTGTCTTATCTTTCTTTTGGATTATCTAATGATGGGAGCTATCCAAGTCAGCACCATGACACCCAACTGAAAGGCCTGTGTTCTTTGGCTGCAGAGGAATTCTGGGGTGGGAAGTCCACATTTGATGGAGATGACCTTAAGAGACATGGGTTAGATGTATCTGATGACTCTGCTTTCCTGGGCATGTACATTCTTGAGAAAAAGAATGACTATAAAAACTGCTACAGTTTCATTCACAGGAGATTCCTGGAATTTTTTGCTGCCATGTTCTATGTGCTGGAGGAAGAGAAGGAAAGAAGAGATGATCCTATCTTTGGGAGGGATATAAAAGAGCTACTGAAACAGTATAGAGAATATGGCACAGAGGTTTCCATAGTGCGTTTCCTTTTTGGCCTCCTGAATGAAAAGACTGTGAGAGAGCTGGAGAGAAATTTCATCTGCCCAATGTCAGAAAGAGTGAAGGCAGAATTACTACAATGGATGATCGTAGAAAGCAATACACAGAGGACTATGAATCCTCTATTGTACTCAGATCCTTTGAAAATGTTTCACTGTTTATACGAGATTCAGAAGGAGGCACTGGTGAAGCAGGCAATGGAATATTTCCCAAGAATAAGATTATCTCTTCACACCCAGAAGGATGTCCTTGTCTCTATATTCTGCATTAAGTTATGCTGTAGTGTGGAGAGAATGTGGTTGCATGTCAGTCAAACTTTGGCTCTGTAAGTGTCTACATGTATTTATCTTTTTCAATTCCAAGAATATAATTTGGCTAGCTAGTTCGTGTTCCCTAAGACTCTAAGGCATGTGTTTTGAAAGTGCTTAGGTGTCTACCTTGATCCCTACCCTCAAAAGCAGGTATTGGTCACTAGGTTTTAAGTTTCAGAAAGCTTCATTGTATGCCAAATACTTTCCTCAGTGGATGAATATGCATTTATTAAGCACCTAGTATGTTTCAGGCATTGTCCTAAGCACTGCTGAAAAAACTGAAACAATCCCAGCCCTCAAGAAGCTTACACTCCAGCCAGAGGAGCTGTGTATGTATAAAAGTATATGTAAAATCTAGAAGAGATAATTGGATGGGAGAGTTACTAGTAATTGGATATTGAGGAAAAACCTCATTGTTTTGTAGAGGATGGAATTTTAGCTGAACTTCAAAGGAAATTGAGGATTTTAGGATGTGGAGGTGAGGAGAAAGTACATTTTCTGGCATGGAGAACAGTGTACCTTCTACTAATGACACCAGGCCCATGTGTAGCTATCTCTGTACCTTAGCAGGAAGTCACCTCCATTTTATGTCCGTTTTTCCCATAGTTAAAAATGAAGATCTTTTCTCATGGTATCACCATTGGATCTTCATCCTTGTTCCTTGGAGGAAAAAAGCTGCTTCCTCTTGAGTGGTCAAGGTGCACTTTCTTTAGCAAGAATTTCAAATCTACTTTGTAGCTCCAAAGGCTCAGTAATCCTTCTTCCCCTCTACTTGTGCTTTCTTGGAATCTCTCCATTTTCTTCTTGAAAAATTTCCTCTATCTTTCCAAGAAATACTTCCTTTTCCCCAGCAGGGATTTCTCTGTGTGTGTGTGTGTGTGTGCGCGTGCGTGCAAGCGTGTGCGCATATCTACACACACATACATGTGTATTTTTGCATATGTACATATACATACATATAAGTGTGTGTATGTATTGTTTTTGTTGCTCCGATGTGTCCAACTCTTTGAGACCTTTTCTTGACAAAGATGCTGGAGTGGTTTGCCATTTCCTTCTCCAGTAGATCACCTTTTGTCAGGCAAATAGATATTAAATGACTTGCCCAGGGTCCAATAGCTAGGAAGTGTTTGAGGCTGGTTTGACCTCAGATTTTCCTAATTCCAAGTCTAGTGCTCTATCCACTCAACCACCAGCTGCCTCATGTGTGCAGGTTGTTGTTCAGTCATTTCAGTTGTGCCCGACTTCGTGACCCCATTTGGGGCTCTCCTGGCAAAGGTACTGGAGTGGGCTGGGATTGTTTCAGTTTTTTCAGCAGTGCCGAGGAGTTTGCAATTACTTCTCCAGACCCTTTTACAGATAAGGAAACTGAGGCAAACAGGGTTAAGTGACTTGCCCAGGGTCACAGCTAGTAAGTGTCTGAGGCCAGATTTGAACTCGGGTCCTCCTGACTCCAGGCCCAGCACTTTATCTACTGTACTACTTGGGTACTCCTATGTGTATGTATATATACACATAAAATATATAAATATATGTTTATAATATATAAAATATAATATATACACATATACACATGTACATATAGTCTCCAGTTCTTACTGATCCCCACTCTTACTTCCATATTCAGATTTTATTCACCTATGTTTCATACCTCAGTTAGCAGCCTCCAGGGCAGAGTTATTTACTTAGCCTTTGGCCCATCTTCCCTTCCCTGGAGGAAGCTAATTACTGAATTAACTTCTGCCTTTCCTTTTGTGGAGGAAAGACAGCTCTGACTTGCCCTAGGGCCAAGAAAATTATGATGACATTGGACAATGCTGTGTTTTATTTATTTTTCATTGAGATGTTAATGTCTAGGCAACTAAGTATGATGGCTTCTTTTACTAATTTATTAATATGTTAGCAGCCTGTTTGTTGTTCATAACCAAAATAAGACAAGAACACTTGCTCTCACCTTGGATAGACGATACAAGAGGTACTTTCCTTAGGACTCAGATCAAAAGTCACCTACCACACGGGGCCTTTTCTGATTCTTGCCCTAACACCCCCTCCTCCCAAGTTACTAGAGGTTTATCATTTTGTATTTGATTTGAATCTATTCATATTATCCCCTACCTCCCATTGGAACGTAAACTCTTTAAGGGCAGGGAATGTTTGCCTTTTGCCTTTGTTTTTCCAATGCTCTTGTGCAGTGCCTGGTCCATAATAAGCATATAATAAAAGTTGATTGGTTGACTCAAAACCTTCCCCATTAGTCTACTCTACATAAGATATTTTTAATTTTTTTAACATTTGCTCCTCACTCATGTTTCCCAACCTGGAAATAATACATTTTGCTCCTGAATATCGGGCAGATACTCGTTGGAGGATTTTTGGGAAGACAGAGAAGAGAAGGTATGGATGGAATGGTTATAATATGCATAAATGGAGGAAATGCCCTCTGACTAACTAATCTTTTCAGTGTTAATCCTTCCTTTTGTAGGAGTAGAGTCCCATGCGAATCTATCTTTGAAGTAATTTATAATATTTCACTTGCTTAGTCCCAAATTCACCCTCTGGCTACCTATGCAATTTGCTTCACTCTAAGGCCAAATCCTTTCTTGATGAGACTTGTGGAAAGAAGTATAGTCTAAATATGTCTGTGCCCAATGAAAAAGGCAGCAAGTTTTTCTATGGGTTCAGGTCATTCCCCCAGGACACTATGGACTTACCTGAGGACAGTAATGATCATTTCTTTTGTGTGTCCTCTTTCAGGATGTACAGTTCTCCTCTCATCCTCAGTCAATGGCAGGAGCTTATCTCCATACTCAGCAATAAGCAAAGCCTGAAGGAACTGGAAATAAGTGGCAGTTTCCTAGATGACAGATCAATGAAGATACTTTATAAGGAGCTAAGACACCCTAACTGTAAACTGCAGACCCTGAGGTGAGTCTACCTTTTGCTAAGGAAAAAAAAAAACTCATATGGTATTAGAATAGAAGCATTTAATGGGCAGAGTGGGGAGGAGAAACAATATGAAGTCTAAAACTGAGTGCCTCTGGTAGTGTGATATCATCAGTTTCTCCCAAGAACCATCCCAATAAGGCGAGCTGGGTCATATGTTCATATGTAAGGACTTCTTTTGGGCTCCTTGCCTCTATATTCTCCGAGTTTAATCCAAACTGCACCATGTTAGTAGACTAATCTTCCTGAGATATCATTTTCATGTCTAATTCTCATTAAAAAACAGTTCATGGTTCCCATGGCCTAAAGAACTCCTTAGTCTGCCATTAAAACATCTTAAATTCTGGCTCTATTCTCCCTTTCCAGACTCATCTCCTATACTTCCCTAGTATGAGCCTTTAATGCCACCTAAAAATCATTTGACCCATTTTGCATTTCTGAGCTCCAATAGCTTCAATCTCTCTCTCTCCCCTCAGTAAAAGTAAGGTGTGTATGTATTTATACATACGCATATGTATACATATGTATACATATGTGTATATGCATGTATGTATATATATATATGTGTACACACATATATATATAGGCTCAGCAGTGATCAAATATTTATTAAGTGGCTACTATGTGCTGGGCAGTGCTGGGGATACAAACAAAGGCAAAAGATAGTCTCTGCTCTCAATTCATTGACCTGCTCTTTCTCTATTTTATTGATATAAGCATTTAGAGATATAAGCCTTCCTCTGATTACTGTTCTTGCTGCATCCCATAAATTTTGGTATATTGTGTCGTTATTATAACTATCTTTAACAAAAAAATTTATTGTTTCTATGACTTGTTCTTTGATCCACTTGATTTTTCATCTGTTTCCATGGTCCTTTATTAAATGCCATTTTTATTGCATTATGATCTAAAAAGGATACAGTTGATATTTATGCTTTTTTGCATTTAACTATAAAGTTTTTATGTCCTAATGTATGGTCAGTTTTTGTAATGGTGCAATGTACCACTGAGAAAAAGATATATGTCTTTCTATTTCCATTCAATTTTCTCTAGATGTCTATCATATCTAGCCTGTTTTGACTTCTTTCTTACTTATCTTTTAGTTAAATTTATCTAATTCTGAGAGGGGAAGGATGAAGGCCTCCACTATTATAGTATTACTATTCATTTTCACCTGTAATTCATTTACCTTTTCCTTTAAAAATTTGGATGCTATAGCATTTTGTGTATATGTTTAGTACTGATTTAATTTCATTATCCATAGTATCTTTTAACATAATATAGTTTCCTTATTTATCTCTTCTAATTAAATCTCTTTTAGCTTTAACTTTGTCTGAGATCATGATCGCTACCTGTTTGTTTTGTTTTGTTTTTGCTTCAGCTGAAGTAGAAATTCTGCTCCAACCTTTTATTTTTACTTTATATGTGTCTCTCATTTTTAAATATGTTTCTTGTAAACAATATATTGTTGGGTTCTGGGTTTTGATCCATTCTGAGGATTTCCATTTTATGAGTGAGTACATCCCATTCACATCCTTTCATCATCTTTTTTTTTTTTAATTTTTATTTAAAATTTTTTTTTCCATATGCTTTTGAGTTGAAAATTTTTTCTCCCTTTTTCTCCCCCCCCCACCCTCCCCAAGACGGCCCACAATCTGACATAGGCTTTACATTTACATACCCATTAAACATATTTTCACATTAGTGAAGTTATAAGTAAAAATTAAAACCAATAGGAGGAACCATCAGAAAGATGAAACCAAACTCAACAGAAGGTAAAAATAAGTGAGAGCGATTCGACTTCCATAGTTCTCTCTTTGGATGTGGACAGCATTTTCCATGGCCGAGGCCTCTGGAGATGTCTTAGATCCTCGTAATGCTGAGAAGGGTTCAGTTTAACATTCTTAGTCACTGCAAACGTGGCTGCTATTGTATACAAAGTCCTCTTGGTTCTGCTCACTTCACTCAGCATCAGACCATATAAGTCTTCCCAGGTTTTTCTGAAGTCAGCCTGTTCATCATTTCTTATAGCACAATAGTATTCCATTACATTCATATACCACAACTTGCTCAGCCATTCCCCAATTGATGGGCATCCTCTCAATTTCCAATTCTTTGCCACCACAAAAAGAGCTGCTATGAATATTTTTGTACATGTGGGTCCTTTTCCCATTTGTTTGATCTCTTGGGATATAGCCCTAGAAGTGCTATTGCTGGATCAAAGGGTATGCACATTTTTGTAGCCCTTTGGGCATAGTTCCAAATTGTTCTCCAAAATGGTTGGATCATTTCACAACTCCACCAACAATGTATTAGTGTTCCAATTTTCCCACATCCTCTCCAACATTTATCATTTTCCTGTTTTGTCATGTTGGCCAATCTGATAGGTGTGATGTGGTACCTCAGAGTTGTTTTGATTTGCATTTCTCTAATCAATAACGATTTAGAGCATTTTTTCATATGACTATAGATGGCTTTAATTTCTTCATCTGAGAACTGCCTGTTCATATCCTTTGACCATTTATCAATTGGGGAATGGCTTGTGTTCTTATAAATTTGTCTTAATAATCTATATATTTTAGAAATGAGGCCTTTATCAGAGGGACTGGTTGTAAAAATTCTTTCCCAGTTTTCTACCTTCTTTCTAATCTTAGTTGCATTGGCTTTGTTTGTGCAAAAACTTTTCAATTTAATGTCATCAAAATTATCCCTTTTGCTTTTCATAATGTTCTCTATCTCCTGTTTGGTCATGAATTCTTCTGTTCTCCATAGATCTGACAGGTAAACTACTCCTTGTTCTCCCAGTTTACTTATGGTATCCCTTTCATCACTTCTTATAGCACATTAGTATTCCCTCACATTTATATACTATAACTTGTTTAGCCATTCCTTAATTGATAGGCACTCCCTAAATTCCAATTATTTGCCACCTCCAAAAGGGCTACTATAAATATTTTTATACATCCTTATTTAGAGTTTGTTTTGCTTAGGACTACTCCTATTCTTAGCCTACTCTCCCTATTATTTACTTCCTTTCCCTTCTTCTCATTCTTTCCATCTCCCTGGTAAAGGAGACACATTTTTTTACCCAACACCATATGCCTGTACATATATGTCTGTATTTTTTCATCATTTTACCAGTTCAAATGAGAATGAGGTTGAAGAAATCAGCTGTTTACCCCTAACCCCATTCTCTTTATTTGTACAAACGTACTTGCACACCTTGATTATATGAGATCATTTTCCCCATCCTTCCTCTCCCCTTCCCTCTCTAGTGTATTTTTCTTTCCCATTTCCATTCTTCTTTTAAGATCATCAAAACATAACAGAACCATTCCCAGGCCTGCTGCCTAATCAGAATTCCTCTTTGAGTCCCTGATTGTTAGAAGGTTCTGAGATGACACATGTATCACGTCCTCATAATAAAATGTAGAGCGTAGATCCCTGATTTGTTCCTTATGGTTTCTTGATCATGTCTACTTTTTTGAGTTTTTCTTGACTCTTGTTTGCATTTCAAAGTTTCTACTCAGAGCTAGTCTTTTTTTAAAGTTCTCTATTTCATTATTCTTTTTTTCTCTATAGGTTTATATTAGGTTTTGCTGGATATGTTATTCTTGGTCATAGACCTATATTGTTTGTCTTCTGGATTATCACATCCCAAACTCTCTGCTCTTTTATATTACTTGATACTAAATTGTATATGATTCTGACTGGTTTCTCAGTACTTGAATTTTTTCTTGCTGGCTGCTCTGTTATTTTTTTTTCCCTTTGATCTCGATGCTTTAAATTTTGGCTATGATTTTCTGAGAGCTTTAATTTTGAGATTTCTGTCAGGAGGTGATGGGTGGATTCTTTCTATTTCTATCTTTGCACTCCAATTCTAAGATATCTGGGCAGTTTCTTTTGTGATTTCTTGAAATATAACATCCATTTTTTTGGTCATGGCTTTCTGGTAGTCCAATGATTTTTATATTATCTCTCCTCAATATGTTTTCCAGGTCATTGTTTTTGCTATGAGATACATTTTCTCCTATTCTTCAATTTTTCAAACTTTGTTTTTAATATTTCTTGTTGTCTCAGGAGTTATTGCCTTCTCTATGGACTATTCTAGTTTTCAGGGAGTTTGTTGCTTGAGTAAAGTTCTGTGATTGTTGTGCTAAGCTGTCAATTACCTTTCTAATTCTTTCTTCCTTAGCCCTGACTTCTTTTCTAGTATTTTCCTCTAGCATTTTAATTTCATTAAAAAAGTAATTCTTAAAAAAACCTTGCTCTATCCCTTCCTGGAATTCTAGTTGAACTCAAGTCTAAACCGTGTTTCGCTTTGAGGCTTTGCCTACAAATGTTTGGAATCATTCTCTTCTGGGTTTGTGTCTTAAATGTCCCTGTTATTACAATAGCTATTTACAATGTGATTGTTTTTGTTTGTTTATTCTTCCACCCTGACTTCAGAACTGATATTAAGGCTATGCTCTGAGTACTTCTGGAGTAATTATCCGGGTTGGTAATGCTCTGCTTTCTTGGATGTCACTGAATGTTAAGTTATTCTAGCACCTCAGGGATAGCTAAAGTTGTGGACCTCCAAACTTTCAGTGATTCCACAGTTGTCTGATCCAAGGCAAAATCTAATCATTACTCCCATGTCTGAGTTCTGCAAGTTCATGATCTGGAGCTGGTTAAAAGCAATATACTTTTGTGCTTGTCTTAGTTGGAATTCCAATAAACTTCTGCTGCACTCAGCTACAGTCAGCCAGCTGGAAAACTTTGTTAGTTCAGAGTGACATTACTGTGGACTCCCCTTTTGTCTGAAATTCGGGTATTATAATATTCTACTGCAGGCTTCAGAATGAGCTGAAGATAGAACTGAGGCCCTGCTCCACTCCTGGGGTCAGAACCACACAGTTGCTCTTTGCTTCAGAACTCCCTCTTTGTTCAGTACACAACCTAGGGCCATGAAACCCCCTTATTCTTATTTCACTCTTATGTGCAAGTTCCCTCCTCAGTCAGCTGTAGATTTATAACACCGAACCGGGTATTAAACAACAAAGCTGCCAGCTGATATCTATTCCTGCACACTGCACAGCACTGGGTTCCCCTGTACTGCATTTAGAGCCTCTTCTTGCCCTGGTGCACAGCCTCTCCCTGCACTGGAATGTTCTACATGGTCATTTCTAGCTAGATCTCCACATTCAGTGTCTCCCCAGCCCCCTATATTCAATCTTCTGCTAAATCCTACCCATTCTACCTTTGAAACATCTCTCATATATGCTCCTTCTCTCCTCTGATACAGCTGGTATCTTAGTGTAGGCCTTTATCACCTCACCACTGAACTACTGCAATAGCCTTTTGATTGGTCTCTTTCTTAAATTTCTCCTTATTCTAGTCCACCCCTCCACTTAGCTGGCAAAGTGATCTTCCTAAAACGCATGTCTGTCCATGTCACTCCCTCCACATATACCTGCTCATTAGACGTCAATGACTCCACATTATCTCAAGAATCAAATATAAAATCCTCTATGTGGCTTTTTAAACCCATTAAAACCTGGTCCCTTCCTACCTTTCCAATCTTATTACATTTTACTCTTTTTCACATACTGTATGATCTAGCAACGCTGATCCCCTTGCTGCTTCTCACAGAAGACACTCCATCTCTTCATTCCACATCTTCACTGGCCGTTTCCCTTGCCCAGAATTCTCTCCCTGCTTACCTCTCTCCTGACTTCCCTTAAGTCTCAGCTAAAATCCTACCTTTCACAAGAAGATTTCCTTGGTCCCCATCAATACTAGTGCCTTTCCTCCAAGATTACCTCCGATTTACCCTGTATATATACATATCTGTATGTACGTAATTGTTTCCATATTGTCTCCCTATTAGAAATTAAGAAACTTGAAGGCAGCAACCATTTTTGCCTTTCTTCCTATCACCAGGTTTAGCATAGCTCCTGGCACAATAAGTACTTGTTGACTAGACTTTACTTGAAAAATTTCAACCTTCTCTTGGCTAAAACAAGAGAGAGATTTTTACACTTGGACTAGGCAAGAGAGTATCATAGTTCCTGCCCTAATAGGCATTTTGTCAGTTTCCTAAATAGAAAGGATGGAGCTGGGGTTATGAAAGAGCTAAAAAACCAAGAGAGGAGTAGTGGAGGAGATAAATGTGATCATTGGTTCATTTACGTCTGAGATTTTCCCTTCTTTTTCCCTGACCCCTCCCCCCACCCCAAGGGACTACGTGGTGTAGCAGCCTCCAAAATTGATGAGTGAGAGAATCCCACTGGAATCAGAACAGGGAGAATATGATTTCTTTCCTATTTCTACAGGCTCCCTCTCGCTGAATTAAGCAAAGACATGAAAAAAGAGCTTGAAGCCCTGCTGAAGATAAAGCCTTCCATGTAAGTTCCTCACGTGTGATATTTGTGTCAGATGCTTATCTCCTAGAAAATACTAATATCTAGTCTTTTAGGGTTACACCAACATGTTTAAATGTATTGACATACATCATACACAAGCATGTGATCACAATTCAATTCAACAAATGTTTTTTAGCCTAAGCACTGCTCTAAATTGCTGGCACAGTGCTTGGCACAGAGTAGACACTTAATAAATGTTCACTGATGACCTGGGAGTACAAAGATAAGCAGTGAGCATGCACATGCATGCATGCACACGCGCACACACACACACACACACACACACACACACACACACACTCCCATGCTTTGCTTCACTGTCTACGAAAGTTAGGTGAAATGGTGTACAGCGTTGGACTTTGAGTTAGGAAGACCTGAATTTGAATCCTGCCTCAAAACTTATTATCCGTGTGCTACTACGTAAATCATTTAGACTCTCAATGCCTCCATTTTCTCATCTGTAAATCAATGGCTTCTAAAAATCCTTTCAGCTCTAAATCTATGGTCCTTTGATTCTTTAAACATGCTCTCTCTTGTACTAAAGTACAAGTGTTTCAAGGGAAGCTTGTCTCAAAAGACATTCCTAATGCCAACACAAGCAGTTAGGGTTAGGGTTAGGGTTCTTGACATGAGAAAGCACATGAGAGCTCCAGGGCCAGTGTCTATGTCCAAACACTAGGATATTCTCTTTTCTTACCTCCATCAACAACAACAAAAAAATGTCAACTCTGATTGCCTATTATCTTTATAGAAAAAATATAGAGACAATTCCTGATGTTGACATGAAAAAAGAGAAACGTCATAATTCTCCACAGGAGCATCAGAGGTCCAGAACAGGTAATGAGAAACCTAAGTATTATTAAACTTATCTTAAGCTATCGCGAGAGCTTCCTAAGACTTTTTTCTACTCTCTCTTACCATACTCATAGTTCCAGATTAATCTTCCTCATTCTCAACTCTAATATTGTCACTATCTTGCCACTTTCACTGATGAATAAAACTCAAAATCCTTAGCCTTACACAAAGGCTCTTCAACAATCTATCCCTATCCTATCTTTTCAGCATTATTTCTTAATGCTTTGCTACATAAACCTTCTGGTTCAAAAAATTTCTCTATTCACTGTCTATAAGGTGATAGTTCTGATCGCACAGTGGTAGAACACTGTGCCTGAGTTCAAATCCAGCCTAAGATATTTACTAGCGATGTGACCTTGGGCAAATCACTTAACCTCTATTTGTCTCAGTTTCCTTAACTATAAAATGGGAATAATAATAGCACCTTCCTCCCAAGGTTCTGTGAGGATCAAATGAGATAATATATGTAAAGATCTTAGCATAGTGTGCAGCACGTAATAGGTGGTTTTTGTTTGTTTCTGGGTTGTTTTTTTTTTTTTGGCTAGGCAATGGGGTTAAGTGACTTGCCCAGGGTCACACAGCTAGTAAGTGTCAAGTATCTGAGGCCGGATTTGAACTCAGGTCCTCCTGACTCCAAGCTCTATCCACTGCGCCACCTCGCTGCTCCACATAATAGGTGTTTAATAAATACTTGTTGCCTTCCTTCCTCCTTGAAAGCAGGGACTGTTTTTGCATTTCTTTGTATCTTCTGCACTTCAGCATAGCTGGTGCTTAATAAAAGCTAGTTTACTTACAACTGCAAAGTCTTGTTGATTTATCTCTACAACATCTCTCTTATGTTTTTCCTTCTTTCCACTCACATGGCTGCTATCCTAGTTCAAGGTCCCATCTGAACTTAATGAATCACCTTAATAAATGCTAGTTGATTGCCTGATTGTCATCTCAGAAAATGCTTAAGTTTACAATTCCCCTCCTGAACTATCTCCTAAGCTTCAGATTTCCATTTCTAACTTTTTATAGGTATCTCTACCTTGACAACCAACCATTTTCTCAAGAACAAGATGTCCTGCACCAATAGGTGGTAAAGTGGATAGAGGGCTGGACCTTAGTTCAAATCCTGTCTCAGATACTCGCTAGCTATGTGACTCTGGGCAAGTCACTAAAACTTCTGTCTGCCTAAGTTTCCTCATCTGTAAAATGGGGAAAATAGTAGCACCTATCTCCCAGTGTTGTTGTGAGAATAAAATTAGATATTTATAAAGCACTTTGCAAACCTTAATGCCCTATATAATTTCAATTATTTATTATTATTATTATTACCTACCTCACAGGGTTGTTGCAAAGATCAGATGAAATAATGCAAGTAAAGTACTTTGTAAGCCTTAAAAGGGATATACAAATGTTAGTGATAAGGATGGTGATGATACACCAACATATCATCTTTCTCCATAAACTTACTCTTTTTCCTGATGCCCTTTTTCTTTTATTTTTCTCAGTCACTCATGCTCATAAATGCAGAATTACCTCTGATTTTTCCCTCTCCATAGCACTGCATGTAGAATAAGATTAAAAAGACCCAACATCTTAATTCTTTCTCCACAGTAGCTGTCATATTTATTCTACTGTCAGCATTTCCTCTGACATGACTTTAGTCCAGGTCCTCATTACATTAAATCTGGACTCCTACAATAGGTTCCCTGTAATCTGGTCACCCTACATCCCTGGTTGTTTTGCTTCAACCTCAGGGGATCAGACTCTAAGAGTCTGGCATGTGAAGACATCAGGAGTCAAAATCGTGATTCCAGCTCATCAAGCAGAAATTTTAAGCTGTGATTGGTGCAAATACAATGAGAATTTGCTGGTAATGGGTGCATTTGACTGTAGTTTAAAAGGCTTGGACTTAAGAAATATACCTCAATCAGTATTTGAACTTCTTGGTCATACCTATGCTATTAGGAGGGTAAAATTTTCGCCATTTCATGCTTCTTTGTTGGCTCCTTGCCCCTATGATTTTACAGTGAGATTCTGGAACTTTTTGAAGCCTGATCCTCTCCTAGAAACAATGGAGCATCAGACACAGTTTACATGTGGGCTAGATTTAAGTCTACATAGCCCTACTCAGGTAGCCGACTGTGTTTGGGATGAAACTGTGAAAATCTATACCCCAGCTTGTCTTACGAACCCCGCTTAGGAAGCGCTCTCCTGCTGAAACTCAGTTATCCAATGCAAAATAAATGAACTGTTGATAACATTTGGACATAATTCTTTACATTGTTAAGATTTTAAACTTTATAAATGATAAGTAATTAATTGAGGATAGCAAACAGAAACTTTGGTTAGTTATTTGAACCCACTGTGCACATTAAATTTCCTACATTTATGGATTTGGTGTGTTTCCTACATGATCTCCTTAGACTGATCTCTAGTCTCTCCTCATTTCAAATCTATTCCATACCTTGCTACTAGATTAATATTCTTAACATATAGGTGTGACCAAATTGCTCCACTCCTCAGAATCTTTAATGGCTCCAAACTCTTTAGCTTGGTATTCAAGGCCCATGTCCATCTCACCTCTCCAGTCTTATCTCATACTACTCTATATCATATCTTGCATACTTTAGAAAAATTGAACTGTTTGACATTCTATTAACCCAGCTTGTACTCTCCCAAGTCTACTCACCTATGCTTGAAAGGCCCTTCTTATTTTTCTTACTGCCATCATTTTACCCATCCTCCAAGGCCTACTTCAGATGCCTCCTAACATTTTGTACTTCTCTTATACAATAACTATATTAGATTTTGTGCTGTATTTATCATTATGTGTATAACGATCCCTACTAGTTAATAAGCTCCTCAAGAGCAGGGATAATTTCTTATTTATATTTGTTTCCTCTCTTGCACCTACCCTTGTACTTAATTACAGTGCATATAGTAGGCAGTTAGCAACAGCTACTTGTATGAATGAAGATGATTGACTGTGGAGAAACAAAAGACCCTCCAAAGCTGGGGGTGAACTGAAGTCCTCCATCAAAAAGACTTAGGGATGCCCACGAAACTGAAAGGCAGAAACCAACAGGGATTTTGTATATGGAAGGACTCAGGGAAGGTACCTATCAAGATAAAGGAGCTATTTGGTTAAGGAAATCAATCAACATCAGAATCATCATTTCTCTATAAAGCCCTGGGAAATCATGAGGACATTAAGTAAAAAGTTGTCCCATGATTTCTTTGGGGTGGCACATTACAGAGAGAAGGTAGAGACTATAGAAAAGCCTTGTTTCATGATTATAGAAGGATTCTGCATCTCCTGGTTTTTGCAAGAGAGGGCAACATAGAATCCTTTGCTCCCCCCTTTCCCCTACCACACCTATCACTATTCCTTCTTTTCCCTTCTATTTCAATATACAACCCTTCCCAGTGGTCTCAACAATAATAAGCATCTTCCTAAGTAACCTTCCCCTTAGTCCTGTTTCTCCATAGTCTCAACTCATCTGTTTCATTATCCAGGACCTCTAGAGAATCTTCACAATTATAGGAAGAAATACAAAACAGGGGAAGATTCCAGTCTTGGAATCCTCATGGACAAGCCTTTCAAAGATCATGGCCTCTACTCTGTTTCATTGTAAATAGGATTTAGATTAAACTATTTAGGACAGAGGGCTTGTATTATACCCAATTTTAAATAATCTCTATAAACAAACAATCTCTATAAATCTCTATATACTGAAGCAGTATATTCAAAAGGGAAATATTCACCACAGTATGTTCTTTGTTTAGGGGTAGCTAGGTGGCATAGTGGATAGTGTGCTGGGCCTGGAATCAAGAATACTCATCTTCCTGAGTTCAAATCTGGCCTCAGACACTTAGTAGCTGTGTGATCCTGGGCAAGGTCCTTAACCCTGTTTGCTTCAGTTTCCTCAACTGTAAAATGAGCTGGAGAAGGAAATGGCAAGTCACTCCAATATCTTTGCCAAGAAAACTCCAAATAGGGTCACCAAGAGTTAGGACTGAAAAAAATTCTTTGTTTCTTGTTTTTTGATTATTTTCTTACTTGTTTTTTGTATTTATCTCTTTGAATGGATAGGGTAGTCCAAATGTGTTCATCAGGATAACTCTTCTTGTCTCTTCACTTTCAGGGCTACTTGAGAACTATCCTAATCATCAAAGACAATGCGACAATATGGATTTGGGTGTAATGATATGTCAGCTGTTGTCTTAAGTCACTCCTGGTGACCCAAATTCCTTAGGATTTTGTGGGTGATCTAAATGACTAGATAAAATACAGTCAATGTGGCAAAATCATAGTTTTTTACTCCTCTCTGAACCTGGTTCTCCAAATTCAAGGAAAGCTTAGGGGAAAGAATCATATAAATATTTAAGTTCATCCCTCTGTCATGAACTTAAAAAATGTTATTGTTGTAAATATAGCAGTGTTGCTGGTGGCTGCTTTACAGCCTGGCTTAGGAACTGTGTTATAAAAGAGTGGAGATGGCTAAAATCTCCCTGAATAACTTTTCCCTTACCTTCACATTGTTTCTCCTTCCCTGCATCTTTTTTTTGGTACTGTCTTCAAGCTTTCAGGAATAAGGTACCATGATGGAAACAGGCTGTCTTCTTTTTTATGCTTCTCAATCCAGGAATGTGGTTCCTGAATTAGGATGAAGACATAAAACTTATGTAGTCATGATCACACCATTTGCTCACATTACTTAAGAGAGCATTGAACACTTTATGCTTCTTATGAGATTGATATAGTGATTAGAGACTGTAGCAATGTAGCAAGCTATTATGCCTTGATGTGAATTTGAATCAATTTTTTTCCTTTTCCTGAATTTTTTACATATTTAACATTTATTTCCAGGAGAAGGAGCCCCACAAACAAAGCCAGAAGTGACTTCCTCACTACCCAATTTTGACCCTTTAAAAGATGAACAGTTAGATCTGGAGAGGTGCCACAATAAGTTCCTGGGACCAAATGGACCAATAAATCTTGAACTGACAGATAAGAACAGAAACATATACAGGTGAGAGCCAGTGGTCTCTTCATTTATTTCTGTTCTAAGGGGAGTCATGCATGGTGTATGTGACTCACAAAAAGAGGATATAATAGCCCTCTCTCAATCTAGATGGCGCTCCCTTTTTATTTTCTTCCCTCTACTCCTCTCCATTATCTTTAGTTCCTTTCTCCTTCCCTTCCTTTGTCTCCTCTATCCTTTCCTAAATTAATATTTAGTGATGTTTCATCTTAGGAATTTTCCTGCTTACCATAAATATTTAATGATGTTTCATCAGCAGACTTGTCTCAGGCTTTTGTGCTGTCTTACTGATATGCAAATATGAGAATCAGTCTCTCCCCAGTTGCTCCTTTTTGGTAAGAAATAAAGGAAGTAATTGATGTGTGCAGAAATTGTACTGCATATGGCCTACTGCGCAATCTGAGAATTTTTTAAGGCTTCTTTTATTCTACTGAGACAGTCTCTCTTTGTGCTTCCCAGAGTTCATTTACCTACGGCTGGCTTCTACCACTGGCCTGATACTGGACTTGGTTTTTCTGTGAAAAGTGAGGTGACTGTTGACATTGAATTTGGTACCTGGAATCGGCACCTGGATTGGACTCAGAAGCAAAGCTGGATGATTGCTGGTCCTCTATTTCACATCAGAGTTGATCCTGAGGTTGTGACTTCTGTGCATCTCCCTCATTTTGTATATCTCCAAGGTAAAGAGACATGAGGTGAAAATCTTATTGTGATAGCAGGCATTGTAACATGTGCAGCTACAGTTTTAATGGGCTGGTAAAGGAATATATGGCTAGTCATTTAGAATTATATCTAGTTAAGAATATCACTAGAGTTTAAGAAAAACAAAAACTGAGAGAAGAACCATCCAGATTGCAGAATATAAAGGCTTATTACCTTACTCCACATTTTGTTCTAAATATTTGGCACTAATCATGATGGAGATGGCAGTAGTAATGACTAAAGCGATGATGATGATGATGAAAACAATGAAGGTAGTAATGATGGAAGGTGGGGTGGTGGTCATCACAATGATAATAATCATTGTTGTGGTTTCATAGATAATATGTGTATCCAAATGGATGATAATTGAAACTTATTTCAGTGAGCATAGACAAGACTCTTTTACGCGATTTATTTTCTTTACTTGCTTAAATGAGTTATTGTTGTCATCATCCTTATCAACATCTTCATCAACATCATCATCATCATCATCATCATCATTATTCTATCATCTTTCCCTAGACTGAATCTAAGAAGATGATAATAGGAATAAGTATAAAGTCCTTGACTCAGGTTAAAAAAAGTTAGCTGCTCAAATACAGGATGAAGAAAATGTGGATACATGATTTCCTGTGAAAAAGAAGTTGAGCCTTAGTAGACTGAAAGTTCAGTATTAGTGGACTTCAACATCAATATCATTTGACACTGTGAACTATCTGATTTTTCTGGATAATATCTCCTTGCTTAGCTTCTGTTACATGTTATTTTCAAGATTGTCCTCATCTCTAAGACCATTTGTCAGCAACATGGCTAGAGATTATGGTGAAGCTAAGAGTGGTTACCTAGTTAATTCAATACTTTGGCAGTGTATGGCAATGAACTGCTAGCATATGAGTGATATTTTGTTACTACAGCATGCAGGGTGGCAGGCCTATATTACCAAGGCTTCTATCCCATCAAACAAAGGGCCTATTTTGAAAGGTCAGATATAAAAGTTCAATTGTCAAAACAAGGATACTGCCTCTGCTTTTCCAGATGTGTGTGGAGCTCATGGTAGCAATAGTTCCACAGGCTTACAGAGCAATTTTATTAAAGGATACCACTAGAGTTATAGCTCACTCTATTAATATAACGGTAGACATTCCTCTAATGTGGCAAACTGTGATCATGCCACCTATTCTTTTTTCATGTAAATTAGCTTTTATGACTTATCCTCATAAATAAGATAAAGGCCTTTTTCACTAAGATATTAAGAAGTGAAGTTCCTGTGACAAAAGAGAGTAGTTCCCTTTTGGAAAGCAATCATCAAGATTAAAGCAGAATTCCTTGATATTTCTGTGGAATAATAACAAAAAATAATAACAATAACTCCCACGTGTTCCCAGTGTGATAAAGCTAAGGGATTCAAACAACATAGCTTCAAGGGTCTGTACAACTGGAAGAAGAGAAGCCAAAATGAGTGACAAAAGAGATAATAAAAAAGATCCTCTCTTTTATTAGAGAACCATTAAAACACCAAAGTATTAAGAGATAAAGGCTGAATATAAGCCTAGCATATAAGCAGGTAAACCAATAGAGAAAGCCCTGTAAACAGAAAAATGAATAAAACCACAGAGAAAATGAAGGATATTAAAGAAATATAGAATAAAAAGGAAAATAAACCAGTATTGCCTGATGAAAGATAAAATGTTATGAACTTCCCAGAGACTGAGGAACAAAGCCAAAAAATTCCAATATGGTAAAAAAGAAAAATAAATTTTTTAAAAAAGTAATTAGAAATGAATATAGGTCAGCTATTAGTTACCAATGCTAAATTTAAAAACAATTAGCAAGGAATGAAAAACTGAAGTAGAAGCTATGAGAAAGAATAAGAGATTTAGAACTTAAAAATACAAAAGTAAAGGAAAACAGCAGAAGAGAAGTAAAAAGCAATAATGTTAAAAGAACACATGAGTTTTCTACAAATCTAAAGTGACTGATTTTCTACAAATCCAAAGTGACAGGATGATCAGAAGTAACCTTTGATTTTCCCCAAAGAACCTGACAAATCAAAAAACTGAAGTCACCTGCAGGAAATAACTCACTAAAACAGTAAAGAAATTTTGAATACATACAACAAACAACGATTTAGAGAATCCACAGATCATTTTAGGGGGTATATAGGATGGGAAGTGGATAGGCATGGAACTTGCATGTACTTCAAACTCCAAAACATCTGGTAGTCAAATTTAATAATTTCAAGGACAAACAAAAATTTTTGTAAGGAGCCAGAGAACAGACCTTCAAATATACACAAAAATCAATTTGAATAAGACATAGTTATTTCATAGTTCTGAGAACTGGAGAAGAGGATGGAATAGTACATCTCTAAAGGCAAAAGAACCCAGGTTTCAATCCAAAGTAGCATGTCCTGCAAATAGGAAACAAAACTATTCCTACCTGATGGCATGATGATTTAAAAAACTCTAGAAGAATCAAAAAAGAAACTGAGACAATAGCTTCCATAAAGCAGCATGATACAAAATAAACCCCTAAAATCAATAGTATTTCTATATAGTAACAATAGAACCCAGGAGACAGCATGAGTAAGAGAAGTTCTATTTAAAATACCCAGAAAATATATACATTATCTTTCAATCAATCTACCAAGGCATATTCAAAACTTGTATAGATGTAAGATACAACTGTATAGATATAATTACAAACATAGGAGAAATGTGCATGCTCATGGCTGAGCCAAGCTAACAATAAAAATCATGATTACCTAAGTTAATATACAGATTTAGTGTTGTGCCAATAAAACCACCAAGTGGATTTTTTATAGAGTTAGAAAAAAAATTATATTTGAAAGAACAAAAAGTTAAAGGAAAATGTAAGTATGAATGACCAGGGAATAGCAATTCCTAATCTCATATCATATAGTACTCTTTTGTAAGGAGTAATCAGCTAATTTATTTTGTTCTAGTTTAAAAGAAAAAAAAACAGACTGGGAAGAAGATAAGGAAGAAAAGATAAGGCAGAAAAATAAACCATTGAACTCATTTGTTCCATAAACCCAATTGTTCAGTAATTCTGAGAACATAAATTATTTTGGTAATAAATTCCTACTTGATGAGAAATACTGGGAAAACTGAAAATCGATTTGGTAGAAATGAGATTTAGAACAACATCCTACTCCTATATACTATACTAGGCTCAAAATGGATATGCAAATTGAATATTCTAATCATAAAACAATAAGATGAGAATAAGATCAGGCATTTTTCACAACCATAAGGAGGTGGTGGATTTTTTAAAATTTATTTTTATTCTTCAAGTAACATTTTTTTAAATCTTTCATTCTCACTACCTGCCACACCCCTAAGCCCAATTGAGCAAATTTAGGAAACTAGGAAGAAGGGAGGACTATAATTATCTTGGCAATAGGTATTCTTTAGTTGACTTTTCTTGAGTATACAGTCAGGTGAAACTCTTTTAAGAAATCATGGATTTCATTTAGGAGTCTAAATTGCTGAAATCAAAACAATATCATTTGCCAATAGGAATATCTGGAAGGCTTCATAATCTATAGGAAATCCCTATTTGGCATTAATTCTATGCTGGATTACCTCAATGATCGTAGCAAATGTCCTTTCCCTATTTGTGCCTCATTCAATAATATTAGTTAGAATAACAATATTATATCCATTGTTATATATTTCAAGGAATCATAATTTTTTAGTTGCATTTTGTTTTGTTTTTGAGATTGGATCTCTCTATCTTATCCAAACTGGAAGTACAGCAGCCACTGATAGGTCTACTCCCAATGCCAATCGGCACAAAATTTTCAACCTACTTGGTTTTTCCAATCTAGGCCAGTTTGTCTCTTTTGCCTTCCATTCCTGGGGGCTCACCATATTGGTGTGAGACTTAGTGCTGACATCCTACCAATCAGCTTTAGCCTACTTCATCTCAGAACTCTCAAACCCAAATGATTCACTAACCCGAGCCTCCTCTGGTAGCACTGCAGATTCTTAGCACCAACTGCTTTTCCACTAATCTACCACCAACACTGAAGAAGTAAAAGAAATTGCATAGAAATGAAAGGCATTTTGTATTTTTATTTGATAAGTTACCATGGCCAAAGAATTCATCATCAATTGGCCAGCTAACTGGTAATTAGCCTCTCCATACTTAACTATGGTAATTGTCAAAAAGAAGGTACAGTTTATTGCTGAGAGCACACTTGATCAGTATTATAGAAATTGACAGAGCCTGCATTCTTCTGGTATAACCTTTAAGGACCCAGAGTCAACTCCACAGAAAATAAAATCAAAATCTGAGGAAATATTAAATTCAAACATATTAACTTAGGAGTAATTTTATAAAATGTGTAGAGTTCTTAGCACTCAGCAATCATTAACCAAGTATTTATTAATACATATACTTTTCTTTCTTAGCCAGCTTGTGACTTTCAGTCTTAATTTCTCTTTCTACTCATTTTCTTTAATTTGATCTCAAAAATTATCCAAGGAATTTTCTTTTAATTTATAGTTTCAGTTAATTTCCTCTTTTAAAATGAGAAACCTGACCTAAGAGATCTATCTGTATCCATAGTACAGATCCTCAGCTCCACCAAGGTCACAAAGAAAGTGGCCCTTGACCACTAGAAGAAATATAAGAAGAAATAAAAAGTAATTTTTATTGAAATTCTCTGACAGGAGGAAAATTTGATGTCTCCTTGTTCAAAATTGCTCACTTTAAAGAAGAGGGTATGGTCCTGGAGAATCCAACAAGAGTGGAGTCATCCCATGCCATCCTGGAAAACCCTAGCTTTTCTACCATGGGAGTTCTGCTGAGAATTATGCATTCTACCTTTAAATTCATTCCCATTTATTCCACTACTCTGGTATACTGCCATCTCAGGGCTGAAGACATTACACTCCACCTGTATCTGATTCCCAGTGACTGTACAATACGGAAGGTAAGCTTAGGTGTTCCTAAGTATGAAGCAGCAAAAAGTACTTAGAGCTTAAAGAAGCTGACAACCCCATCCTCACCTTACAACTCCCAGTTTGACATCAGTTCCATGGTGAAGGCTATTGACATAAATAGCAAGTAATTGTGGCCTTCCTGTGTGCTCTGCTGGGAAAACAGGGATTTCTCATGTTGAAAATTTTTCTTTCCCTTTTTTTCAGGCTATAGATGAAGAAGAAGCAAAGTTCCACTTTTTACGCTTGCATAAGCCATCTCCAGTAACCCCACTCTACATTGGCTCTCGTTTCTTAGTATCTGGATCAAAACACTTGGAAATAATGCCTGCAGTAAGTGATACTGGTTGAGCATATCCTGTGGTAAAAGCACCTCTTTTTCATTCAAATCAAATTGAGCAAATCTCAGCAAAATCTTCTGGCTCAGTATGCATCCCTGTCATGGTTCCCAAGCTTTTTAGTGATACATATCTTATTTTTGTTATATAACTTTAAATGAAGATTTGAGTTACTTTAAAATAACTTTGAAGTAAATATCTAACTTGAATTTTTTTTTTTTAATGCAATCCCTTATTTTAAGGGTATGACCTTGCCCTGCCATGTACATACCTACTATTGGTGTTTCTTCCCTCCAGGAACTAGAACTCTGTTACCAGAGTGCTGGGGAGTGTCAGTTTTTCTCTGAGATTTACTCCAGCAATGTGAAGGAGAAAATCAGTTTGGATCTGAGACATCCAAATGGGACACTGGTGTGGGAGACACTGGTGAGATCAGGTAAGACACTCAATGATGAATGGGTAAGACACTGAAGCTGTCAGGCAAAAATGTGTGTGTGTGCGTGTGTGTGTGTGTGTGTGTGTGTGTGTGTGTGTGTGTGTGTGTGTGTGTGTGTGTGTAGGTGTAGATGTCTGCATAAACACAGGTATCTGTGCATTATTACTTTACTCTGGAATCTCAATCAGCTCCCAGACTTACATATCATTTCTACATTTATGATTTTCCTACCCTAACCCCTCTGTTGACTTCCAATCTCACATGTCCAACCGCCTTTCAGAAACCTCAGTCTGCATGTCTGACAGACATTTTAAACTCAACATGCCCAAAACTGAAGTGATTATCTTTCCCCTAAACATTCCCCACTTCCAAACTTTACTATTACTGTAGAGGCAACACTGTCCTCCCAGTCCCTCAGGCTCATGACCTGGATGTAATTCCCAATATACTTCACCCCATATCCAATCTGCTGCCAAGGTCTATTGATTTCACCTTTGTAACTTCTCTCAAATATACCCTCTTCTCTCCTCTGATACTGCCAATACTATAGGGCAGGTCATCACCACCTCACACTGTGACTACCGCAAATGCCTGATGGTGGGTCTGGCTGCCTCATCTCTTCCCATTCCAATCCAACCTCTATTCAGCCACTAAAGTGATTTTCCTAAAGCAGATGTCTGATCATGTCACTTTCCTAACTCTATAAACTTTATGGGCTCCTTATTGCATCCAGGATAAAATACAAAATGCTCTGGCACTCAAAGCCCTCCATACTCTAACCAATGCCACCCTTCTTCCCCTGCCCCTTACCACATATTTGCAGTCTTTTTACATCTTATTTTCCATCATGTACTCCTTAATCTAGTGACACTGGCATCCTTGTGCTTCCTTGAATGACATATTCCATCTCTTAGCTCTGGGCATCTTCTTTGGCTGTGATTCATTTCTGGAATCTTCTCCCTCCTCATTTCCACCTCCTGGCTTCCTTGGCTCCTTCAAGGCCTAACTAGAATCCCACTTTCTATAGGAAGGCTTCCCCAATCCCTCTTAATTCTAGTATCTTTCCTCTGTGGATTATTTCTTATTTGTCCTATATATAGCTTGTTTGTACATGGTTGTTTGCTTATTGTTTCCTCCATTAGATTATGAGATACTTGAAGGGCAAAGACTTTTATTTTTTTTGTATCCCCAGTGCTTAGTATAGTGCTTGGCACAGAGTAGGTGCTTAATAAATGTTTATTGACTGGCTACAAGGAAAGAAGGTGAGGTGTGAAGTTACTAGAAGTTACCCTTACTGATCATTAACTTGGGAATGGATTTTACTATCTAAGAATAGTTCTTGTGTTTCTTATTCAGCCCATTCTAATACTTTTAAGGTCAGCAGAAACATCAAGCAGGAAAATAACTTCACTTTATCTCTTATAGTAATACATACAGAGTATCAGATTAATTTTAATATGACTAATGTATATGTAAATGGTGATTCTCTAAGTGCTATTGAGAGCACCAACCAAGAGGTAAAGTCTTTCACTCTAGAAATGTTTTCTTGATTTATGAGGCCCATGATAAAGAGCACAATTTATGGAACCTGGGGTCCTAGCTACCATGGCCTTTACTTTTTACTTTGTCTTTAGTATTATTCACTGTAAGGTGAGAATGATAGACGGTTTCATTGTCATCCTATGGTGACCTCTGACTGCATTCATTTGGGCCTGTTCTCCTTTCCCCATTCCTCCAGACCCATTGCAGAGTCAATATCACCTTAACATGCCAAGGCATGGGGCCCTGGGAGCATCAGACATCAGTCAAAAATTTGATTTATAACTCATTGCACTTTTCTCGTTCATAGGAGATCTTGGACTTGCTTGTGCCCCAGTCTCTTCAGGTCCCACAGGTCAGTAACAGAGTAAGGTTCAAGCAATGCCCATCGTACACCCTCCCATCATCCCTCCACTATAATAGGTCTTTCATGCCTCTTTATGTGAAATAATTTGCCCCACTTTTGACTAAGTAAAAGAGGTCATTCTTCACCTGGTTTCTTACCTAACTTTAATCACTGAAAGAGTGTTGCTTTGTCAAACTGAGGCCTGGGAAGTTCTTCGCTTAAAAAGGCCAAAGTCTCTCACTGCATCTGAGGCCATCTCCAGTTGTCCCGGTCTGTATCTCGCCACTGGGCCCTGATGGCTCTGGAGGAGAAAGTGAGGCTGGTGACTTTGTACAGACCTCCCTCGCTTAAATCCAATTCACTTGCAAGTCATGGCATCACCTTCCTGATGTCATAGTCCTCTTTGAAAATGAAAGACAAACAACATTCTTATAGACACCCAGATGTGGATCTTCTTGTGCAACAATGTGATCATAGAGGAGTTGGGGGAAAGATCATTTATCCAGAGAGGGCATCATATGTGCAGGGGTGTCAAAAAAAGTCTTAGGGCAGAATTAAGCTTCTGTAGCTTAAAACTGCAGTTAGACTGTTGTGATACTCTGATATCTCAAGCATTCAGAAAAACACAAAGTGGTTTAATAATGTCAAGTTCCTGGGTCCAGAGTGATGAAGAAGGGAATGTACTGACAGGCCATGTATCTTTGGCTAGGTTGACTGGGGTGGAGGGAGAATTCAGATTCACGCACATCACAGTGAAAAGGCCTGGTGGTCTTCAGAGATTGTGTAGATGTTCACATTCTAAGTTGACTCTACTTACTACAAAAACTGCTCTAGGGCCTGAATAAGCATAAGCTTTAAGGACAGACAGTGGTTGCTCCAGATAGTGAGTAGGACGGATGAAGAAACAGGAGGTAGGGAGCAGTGGTTCTAAAGTTAATGGAAATAAGAGGTAGGAGGCCATAGTAGTGACTGTAACTATTTATTACTACATTATTTCTACCTTTCTGCCAGCACCAGAAGCTCCATCAGTCTCTCCCTTATTCTCTTCCTCCAGGACTTCACTTTGTTGACCAACACAGGGATCAGATAATTTCTCGGGTAACAGCAGTGGACATGATCCTCGACAAACTTTACAGCCAGTTCCTCAGTAATGAGGAGTATGAGCACATACGGGCAGAGAAAACTAACCCTGATAAAATGAGAAGACTGTTTAGTTTTAGCACATCTTGGGATAGGAATTACAGAGATCACTTGTATGAGATCCTAAAAGAGACACATCCTCACCTAATAAATGAAATACAGAATACCGACAAGGCAGTAGTGAAAAAGCCACTGGGGGCCAATAACATTGCCATTTCTCCTTATAAGCTAAATTAGGTTAATGTCCAGTTACTGAGCAGCAGCTGATGAAAATTTTCACAAAGTTCAAAAATTGACTAGAGTGATGTAGAGCACAAGACTGTGGTTTATGTTGAAATTTAATTAGAAACATTAGTATTTTCACATTTTAAATAATCTAAATTTTTCAGTAAGTCTGTAGCATTTATACAGAAGTTTTTAAAATTTAAAACTGCACTAAAACGTTTGGGACATTCTGTATATAAAGCAGATACAAGACAACTTTGGAGAGGAATACACTAGCAGTTGAGGAAGCATGAAAATTGTAATGAGCTGAATCTTAACGGTGAGAAGAGACAGCAATTCAGGCATGGGGTGGGGGACATCCAGTGCAAAGGCAAGGAGGGTGACACAATGTGTGGGGGAACAGCAAATAGGCCACATAGCTTAATGTGAAGGGGAGCAATACATAAGAAGGGGAGCATATATAAGGATGTGGCCAGGTTGTGAAGACCTTTAAATGCCAAAATGAGGATTTTATATTTGATCCTAAAGGTAGTAGGGATCTACTGGAGTTTAAGTACAGTGGCTGTCTGGTCAAACCTACAGTTTATGAAAATCATTTTGCCTGCTGCATGAAGAATGAACTAGATTGGGTAGAAATGGGAAGCAGAAGCACTAGTAGGAAAACATTTCAATAGGTGAAAGGTGACAAGGGCTTTAACTAGGGTGATAGGTGAGTAGAGTGAAGGGGACATATGTAAGAGATTTTATAGGGACAAAAATGAAATTTAACAATCTATTGGACATGTGCAGTGAGAAAGAAGAGCCAAGAATCAAACTAAAGTTAAGAAATTGGGTAACTGGAAAGATGGTCAGACCATCAACAGTAATAAGTTTATTAAAAGCTTGAATTTGAGGTGGGGAGAGGAGACATAATGAGTACTGTTTGTACATGTTAAGTTTGAAATGTCTACAGGAGAGCTAATTCAAAATGCAAAATAAAGAGCAGTTGATGCAGAAATTCATCTCTATTGCAAATGATGCCTAATAGAATCCTTGGTCATGTGACCAACAAGATGGAAGACTAGACATTTTCTGATTCCCATGAGTTCTTAAACCTCTCCAAAAGAGAAAGTATATGCCAAAGGTAAAACAACTTCAGCAGTCTCCATGGTCTATGATACCCCAAACCCAAAAAGCTAAAAAAACAAAACAAAACCATGAACTGGTGTCTACCCTGAACTCAGAAAGCACCCCTTTCCCTCATTACTCACCATACTACTGGCAGTGAGAATGTACCAGTCAATTCAAAGGCCTGACCCACAAACTTGCAATAAAACCCAAACATACACCCCAACTTCCCTCCCCCTTCCACATGCCATGGAGAAAAGAGCTCCATGTTGCAGAAGTTTGCTTGATGACCACTGTCATGATAGTGTTCTGTGCTGAAAATGATTTTTGCCAAAGAGTAGAGAAACAGTGGGTAAGGGACAGGACACATCTCTAGACCTGAAAAACTGTTCAACTCCACACTCTTTCCTCCTTTCCTCCTAGAGCCTTAAGGACCCAAACTCCAAATGACAGAAACAACTCTGGCTACAGTGATGTCAAAGTGGCAGTGCTTAGAGCTGACAGGCTAGAGAAATGAGAACAGAGAGAAAGGAAAAGGAGGGAGGGTCATAGCATTGGGTTGGGGGAGCTTAAGGCACTCCACTGAACCTTCCACTCAAAAGTTAGTATGGGCAAAGACCTAGGCTGGTGAACTGTGACTGCCCACTGTGGAAGGAGGCTGAGATGCTTTGAAATACATTCCTCAGGGAAACCAACATTGGAGGGAGGGAGTCAGAAAGTAACTAATAGGGAGGTGGTAGGGATATTAACAAAGAAATCAAGAAGAAACAAAAGCCTTGATTATAAGCAGATAAATCAACAAGGAAAACCTTAGAAGGAAATATGGCTTCCAGATCTAGCAAACAAGTTTAAGTATCTATGAATAAATATTCAAAACAAAGCAAACTAAGATAACATTTAATGAGGCAGAAGACCCTGTGAAATTTGGGGGAACATGGAAGTACAAAACATTGCTCCTGAATGATTTAAAAGAAAATTGAGAATTATGACAGCAGAATTTATGGCCTGTACAGCAAAAATAATTGGCAGAATAGAAACACTGGAATCTGTAAGGGCAAGTCACAAAGAAATAAAAGAGAGAATAATAGATTCGGAATTAAAATGCACAGAAGTTAACCACAATCTAGAAGTAGAGAAGCAAAAAATGATAATATAGAAAGAAAATATGTTCTCTATCCAAACAAAACGTAATGATCTCAAAGACAGGATATACAGAGACAACTTAAGGTTGAGTCTACTGGAAGAAGATAAGGCAAAAAACCTAAACATGATAATGCAAGAAATACAAGAAAACTGCTCAGGTCTTAACACAGAAAATAAAATACCAACTGAAAGAATTAATAGATTTCCTCCCAAAACAAAACAAAACAAAAAACTCATGGCTGCAAATTCCAAGATATACAGTGGTTAAATTTAACAATTCAATTCAGAAACAAGTTCCACAAGTAACCAGGAGAAAGACCTTCAAATTCAAAGGAAAAGAAATTCAATACACAAGACTATTTTGAACCCACTAGAAAATGCAGAAAGGAATGGAATAGTGTATTCTGAAAAGCAATTTGCAAATCTAAGATTGACCGCATAGGAAAAAAAAGATAGATGTTTAATAATAAAGAGATGTTTGAAACATTCTTAGAAAGAAAATGAGACTTGATATGAAGTCTAACATATTTTGAAAATGCATATCCATATGAATGTAAACCTCAGTTAACGTTTAAAGTTTCTTCCCTTCCTGTGGATTTAGGGTATGGCTTATAAAAGACCATCAGAATTATGGAAATGCACAGACTTTGAGAGTGGTAAAGGACTTCCAGGTCACTTAGTTCAAACTTCAATGCAGGGATAAATCTACTTGTAGCATTTGGGGCACCCTCTTCTCATAAGTGGGGACCCAGAAATATTTGTTTTAAAACATTTTCACTGTGGGTTGATATTCATTAAACACACACACACACACACACACACACACACACACACACACACAAAAAACCCTACAGCTCATAAACTCCCAAACAATGCTTTCACTTCTTTCTTGTCAGAATTCACAACTGGTTCAAAGCAAAGACATGTAATGAAATAGTAAAATAATAAAATTCATAATGGAACATTCCCACTTAAAAATACAGGGACACACTCTCCAACACACCATCAGTGGTGAAATTGGGAATTCATAAGGATCATACATTAGGGAGTTACACGTAGGGAAGAAAAATTAAAGAATATGGAAGGATAAGTCATATATCCAATCCAGTATCATCTACTTCTGGTAATGTCACCACACTAGTCTAACTGCCTATACATATGACTGTGATCTGATGTTTCCACTAAGAATTCCACTTTCCTGGGATGTTAGGTAGGGTAGTCTCTACCCAGCATCATTCTAATTGTCTTGATAGTCCCAAGGCTTCTAGTAAATTCTAGATGCTGCTCTCTGCTACCAACTTCAGGCTATTTTTTCTCCATTCTTACGGGTACAGTGACTAGAACCTCTCCCTGGTAAGTAGGCTGAAAGCTCTATTTTCTTTAGGTGACACTACCAAAGTGACATTCATTTAAATTATCTCTACACTAATGATTCATAGGTCTACACATAAAGCTCCAGTGTCTCTGAGCTTCACTCCTGTATCATCAATTGCCATTTGGACATTTCACACTAGATGTTACATAAGCATCTCATATTGAAATCTGAAAACTTCATACTGAAAACCAAACCCATGTTTTTCTCTAAATCCATTTTTCTCCCAACATTCCTATTTATCAAAAGTTTCACTATTCTTCTAGTCTCCCAGGTTCATAACTTTGGTGTAATCCTCACTGCCACTCTTTCTTACCCCACGTATCAGTTGCCAAATCTTGCCATTTTTACATCCACATCTCTTACATCTGCACTTTTCTCTCTACTCACATAGCTACCATGTGAATAAGAAATAGCAAGCAGGATGCTTTGGCTGAAACAAAGGGTATATGAAGAAGAGTAACATACATTAAGTCATGAAATGAGGGCTAGAGACTTTCATGGCTTTATTTTACATCTTGCTGCTTTACTGGTTATTGTTTCAATTATTTTATCAGTAAACCTCTAGGTATATAAAAATTTGCATCATTTGTAAACAGACAATTTTGCCTGTTTATTCTTTCAAATTAGTTTTATCTTATTGGTATTGCTAACATTTCTAGAACTATATTAATAGAAGGGATATAGGGACCTTATTGAAAAGATTTCTATTGTTTCTCCATTATAGAAGTTAGCTCTTATTTTTTGATTGATGTCAATCATATTAAAGAAAAAAAGGTATTTATCTGTATGCTTTTTAGTGGTTTTACTGGTGTTGTATTTTGTGAAAAGCATTTGTATCTAATAACAGATCACCCATACGCTCTTACAAGAGTGAACACTTGGAAGTTTCCCCATGTATACTTAGGGCACTGCAAACCAAGAACAGAGAGAAGAGGAACAAACCGCATCCAATTGGTGACTGACAGGACCCTATATAAGTGTGCCATAAGTATAAACCACAGTCACAATGAGATCAAGTGCAGCTAATTCTGCTTGCTCCCTCAGAGTACTTACTGAGAAAACTTTAGCAAGTTTTAAAACCTGCCAAATTCATTACTTTTCCTTCCCCCTTTCTAACAACTACAGCTATGGAAGAGGGAGCAAAGCTTCAACAAATCATGCAGCTAACTGTTAAAATATTTTTTTAACAGTTGTTTTGTTGTCTTGCTATGATAACATTTTTGGTTACCTAATAATGTTTCAATAAATCACATGGATATTAAGGAAAAAAATGGTGAATCTTAAGAGCAGGAATGAATGGGAAAGGAAGCTCAGTGCAGAAATAAAGGGGGTTTGCTATTATGGTAATTTTTAGCAAATTTCAGTTAAGGGTTATATCCCTAGTCATACAGAACCTGAGAGCCCTACCTTCACATCTCTCCCACTAAAAAAAGAACAGGTTAATGGAAAAGAGCAGGGTACTCCTATGTAGTTAGTACCTCTAAATGGTAACCAAGCTATATCCACAAACCACTACCACCATTTGCCTAATTAATCAGTTAAATTATCCAAGAGGCCACTACTCTATGCAAACTGCAAAATGCAAAGGGTCGGGTGTGGGGAGCTATTGTTCTTGAAGTACCATCCTTTGCACTTCTTGAACTTGCCATATATACATACACACATATCAGTCAGTCAGTAAATATTTATTAAGCACCTACTATGTGCTAGGCACTATGTTAAGCTCTAGGGATATATAAAGAAGCAAAAGACAGTCCCTGCCCTCATGGAGCTCACAATCTAATAGGGGATAAGCCAACAAACAGACAAACACAGCTTCAATGACAATAATTAAAAGAGAGAAGGCACTAGAATTAAAAGGAGCTGAGAAAGTTTTCTTGAAGGAGATAGGAATTTGGTTAGGACTTAAAGGAAGTCAGCAGAATAAGAGATGAGAAGGAAGAGTATTCCAGGCAAAGGTCACAGCCAGAGAAAATGCCCAGAGTGGGAGAGATTGTTTTATTTATGGAACAGCAAGGAGGCCAAACCCTGGATCAAAGAGTATATGGCAGAGAATAAGGTATAAGATGACTTGGAGGTAGGATGAAGCCAGGTTATCATGGGCTTTGAATGCCAGAGGCTTTTGAATTTGAAACTGAAAGACAGAGGCAGCCAATGAAGTTTGTGTGTGTGTGTGTGTGTGTGTGTGTGTGTGTGACACGGCTGGACCTGTGCTTCAGGAAATCACTTTGGTGGTTGAATGAAGGATGGATTGGAGTGGAGAGAGACTAGAAGCAGGCAGACCCAACAGCAGGCTATGGCAGAAATCAAGGTGTGACGTAGTAAGGGTCTGCGATAGAGAGGTGTCAGTATCAGAGGAGAGAAGAGAGAGGATTTGAGAGATGTTGCTAAGGTGAAATCAATAGGCCTTGGAAACAGACTGGATGTGGAGGATAAGAAATGGTGACGATTTGAAGATGACACCTAGGTTGCAAAACTTAGACGCTGAGGATGGTGTTGCCCTTTACAATACTTGAGAATTTAAGAGGGAGAGGATTTGGGAGAAAATATAGGTCCCTTTTGGACATGATTCATTTAAGAATCCTGGAATCCAGTTTGAGATGTTTGAAAGGCAGTTAGAGATGCAAGACTGGAAATCAGCAGAAAGGTTAGGGCAATGAAGGTAGATCAGAGAATCATCAGCATGGAGGTGGTAACTGAATCCACGGGAGTTGATGAGATCACCAAGTGAAGTAGTATAGAGGGAGAAGGAGGAGAGTTCCCAGGACAGAACCCCATGGGAAACCTACAGTAAAAAGGCATGATCTGGATGAGAATCCAGCAAATGGCATTGAAAAGGAATAGTCTGAGAGATAGGAGAACCAGAAGAGCGTGTTACTGTGAAAACTGAAAGATCATTAAGAAGAAGATGATCAACAGTGTCAAAGGTTGCAGAGAGGTCACGGAGAATAAGGATTAAGGCCACTGAATCTGGCAATTAAGAGATCACTATTAACTTTAAAGAGAGCAGTTCCGGTGCAATGACACTGAAAGACAGATTGTAAGGGATTCAGAAGAGAGTAAGAGGAGAGATAGTGGAAACATCTATTGTAGATAGTTTTTTCAAGGACTTTAGCCACAAAGGACAGAAGAGGTAATATAGGATGACAGTTGGTGGGTATGGAAGGATCAAGTGAGGGTTGCTTCAAGACAGAGGAGACATAGGCATATTTGTAGGTGGTAGAGAAGGAACCAATGGGCAGAGGAAGACTGAAAATAAGTAACAGAAGGAAGATGACAGAGGAGGATCACTTGTGCAGGTAGAAGGAATAAGGCCACCTTTTCATGTAAGACAAGGGTAAAGGAGGAGATAATAACAGAAGGCATATGAGTGATATGAGATGAAGAAGGGAGAAGAGGGAGCTCATGGAGAATATGACAGAAGGGCTTAGGGCTTAGACAGGTTTCAAACAGGTCTTAAAAGATTTTCAAACTATTAACAACTAGATGAAAGAATTCTCCAAATTGCAAACAATAAGAGAGATGCAAATCAAAACAACCTTTTACCCCATATTCAGCGAATCTACAAATATACAAAAGACAGGAATAGTATAAGTTGGGTGGGCTGTGCAAATATAGATACACTAATGTATTGTTGGTGGAGGTGTGAATTGGTACAATTATTCTGGAAACCAATACATAATTATATAAAATACTCATAGTCTTTGACCCAGTGATTGACTGGGAAGCATATATCCTGAAGGATTAAAAAAAAAAAGGATCCACAGACACCAAAATATAGCAGCATTTTTCAAAGTAGAAAAGAACTGATGTCCACCAATTTGGAGAATGGATAAACAAACTGTAGTACATGCATGTAACAGAAGGTCATTAGGCTTTAAAAAATTATGAACATGATGAACAGAAACAAGCATTAAAAGATGTACATGAATTGCTGCTACAAAGTGAAGTCAGCAGAGTCAGGAAAGCAATATAAATCATGTCCACAACAATGTAAATGGAAAGACTCTCTATCACAAAATAACTGAAGCTGAATGTTGTGAAATTATAAAATGCCAGCTTGATTCAAATAAGATGAGGACATCTCTTCCACCTCCCTATTTTGCAGAGGTTGAGATGAAGAGATGGGGAGTACTGCATATATTTTTTTTTCTGTGTTTAATGACTGCTTAATCTTTTTCTCTTCCTTTAAAAAAATATTATAAGTGATAGCTCTTAAGTAGGGATGGGGGAAACTCAGGGGGAATCCAGGCAATAAAAAAAGGGAAGTCTAATAAAACATTTTGAAAATTCATGAATTCTTTCTTTCACAGCTCTATCTTCTAAATACTCTGCCCTTTCCCAAGACAGGAGCATTTCCAGGAAAGGGATGATTTCTGGGCTAGTAACATACAGGTTCCCAGTGAGATAAGGTTAACTCTGCTGAAACACCATTGTATTTCTCTGATGGTCTTGGCTTACCCAAGTTCATTTGGGACCTGAGTTATTCAAGTCTCCTGTAGAAGACTTTGGCTATTCTGATAAAGAATTAATAAACTACAGAATGACAGGTTGTCTGAGCTGGAAAACGCCTTTTTAGGCTATATAGTCCAAACCATACCAGAAGAGAATCCCCTCTACACCATACCAAAATGGTCATTTCTTGATATTACATGTATACCAATAGCTCATACTTATGCATCAGTTATCCCATGTTCTATTTTTATACAAATTACTACCTGTCTTTTCTTTCCTGCTATTGTACCCTGAGATTTTATTCAAAATAGAAAACTAAAAACTAAAAAAACCTAAAAACATTTCACATGTTTTGTGATAGGAGAATAAACATATTGATTTATCAAGATGATGGAATGTGGATGTACAACTAGGAACATGTGAATTTTTTTAATTGGAAGATTCATATGAAATGAAGTTAGAATATACACATTAATATTTTATCACCCAGAAAAAAATAACACAGGAAAAAGTTGAAAAATGAGCAAACTTTCTTTGCTGCCATCTTGTGGAAGTAAATGTACACACACTTTAGGATAATGTAAATAAAGGAGATTTTTAAAAATGTACTTATTTTTATCTGTTTCGGAATCAGAATGTTCATTTTTAATCAGTTATTAAGAATGAAAAAGAAAATGAAATGTAAATTTGCTCTGACTTAAAAATTCTGTGGTTTTGATAAAATGGTCAATTTAAAAAAGAAAATATATCAGGCACACTTGCTGTAGACTTAGTCAACTCTTCTTAATGGTGTCTAAGGTATTCTACAATAAAGAGTATGATAAAAGAAGAAAACAGTAACTAGTAACATACTCTGTAATCTTGACACTATGGTATTTTAACAAAAGATTATTTTTTTGTGAAGCTTTTCCCATGTTATCACATGAAATTAGCCTCACATATACCATTTATAGCAAAATTGTTCCCATGGTCAATATAATTCAGAATCTTTTTCTTCCCATTCATTTGCTGATGTTTATCACATAAAATGTATAGCCTTAGTTACCAGAATAAATTATCTGATTTGTAGCAGAGGGTCCTCTGACAGCTTAACTATACTTAACATTTATTAAGGGCATTCTACGTGCTAAGTATCATAATGAGTGATGAGGATAGAAAGAAAAGAAAAGCATCCCTGTCTTCAAAGGGCATATACTTTATGGTGGGTGGGACTGAAGTGGCTAAAACATTTGTGTTCATTGCTTTTATACAATTTCCTTTCATTATGAAGTCTCTGATGATAAATCAAGAATGATAAATTGCTAAAGGCCTTTCCACATTCATTATGCAGGTTTTCTCTCTGGCATGAATTTTGTTATGTTTCATCAAACTTTTATGGAGGTCAAAGGCTTCTCTGCATTCATTACAATTAAAGGTATCTTTTTCATATGAATTCTCTCATGTCGATTAAGATTTCCCTTCTCAAAGAAGGCTCTTCCACATTTATTACACTCAAAGGGCTTCTCTCCACTATGAATTTTCTCATGTTTCTTTAAAATTCCTCTCTCACCAAAGGCTTTTCCACATTTATTACATTCAAAAGGTTTCACTCCAGTATGAACACTCTGGTGATCAGTAAGAAGTACCTTTCGGCTGAAGCTTTTCCCACATTTATTACATTCAAAGGGTTTCATTCCAGTATGAATTCTCTGATGTCTAATAAGGGATCCCCTTTCACTGAAGGCTTTTCCACATTCTTTACATTCAAAAGGTTTCTCTCCAGTATGAGTTCTCCAATGTATAATCAAAGCTCCACTCCCACTAAAAGCTTTTCCACAATGATTACATATGAAGGGTTTCTCTCCAGTATGAGTTCTCTTGTGTGTTGCCAAATTTCCTCTGTGACGGAAGGCTTTCCCACATTCACTACATTCAAACGGTTTCACTCCAGTATGAATTCTTTGATGATCAGTGAGGTTTCCCTTATTACCAAAAGTTTTCCCGCATTGACTACATTCAAAAGGTTTCACTCCAGTATGACTTCTCCAGTGTATAAAAAGGTTTCCCCTCTCAAAGAAGGATTTCCCACATTCACTGCATTCAAAAGGTTTCACACCAGTATGAATACTCTGGTGATTATCAAGAAGTACCTTTCGGCTAAAGCTTTTCCCACACTCATTACATTCAAAGGGCTTCACTCCAGTATGAGTCCTCTGATGTCTAATAAGGGTTCCCCTATTACTAAAAGCTTTCCCACATTCATTACACAGAAAGGGTTTTTCTCCAGTATGAATTATCTTGTGTGTTGTCAAGCTTCCACGGTGACTAAAGGCTTTCCCACATTCATCACATTCAAAGGGCTTCATTCCAGTATGAACTCTCAGGTGATCAGTTAGGCTTCCCTTATTGCGAAAGGCTTTCCCACATTCATCACATTCAAAAGGTTTCATTCCAGTATGAATTATCTGATGTCTAATAAGGTTTCCTCTCTCAAAGAATGCTTTCCCACATCTATCACATTCAAAAGATCTCTCTCCAGTATGAATTCTCTCGTGTTTAGTTAAACTTTCTCTGTGGCTAAAGGCTTTTCCACATTTATTACACTCAAAGGGTTTTTCTCCAGTATGAATCCTCTCATGTTTATTCAACTTCCCCCTTTCAGCAAAGGCTTTCCCACATCTGTTACATTCAAAGGGTTTCACTCCAGCATGAGTTCTCTCATGGCGATTAAGATTCCCCCTGTTACTAAAGGCCTTCCCACATTCACTACATGCAAAGGATTTCACTCCAGCATGAGTCCTCTGGTGTCTAAGAAGGCTTCCCCTGGAACCCAAGATTTTGCCACATTCATTACAGGTAAGGGGTTTCTCTCCAGTACAAATTCTCTCATACAGAGTAAGATTGGATTTTCTCTCAGAAATTTTGCCACATTCATTGTGTTCATGTAACTTTCTTCCAGAATATATTCTATGAAGTTTGTTTCCTGAGTAGAATCTGAAGGACTTCACTGGAACAAAGACTGACCCTGAACTAAAACTACTCCCAAATGAATTTTGTTGAGGTACACTCATTAAATTAAGAATTGTTCTGTGAATGATGGTTACATTTCCAGAGCGTGTCTCCTGGTTGCCCAGTTGTTTCTGTAACACAACATCACGTGCCATAGATTCTTCCATCTTGGCATTTTGGGGAATATCCACTGGTAGTCTTTTTTTAAGTGATGGTATGTGGCAAATATCATGTATTAAACTCCAGTTTTTGGTTTCACTCCAACTGTCCAGATTAAGAGAATCTGAAAAAAATTTTACAAAATGTCACTAACACCTGTACCTTGTTCCAAGACAAAAGAAACTGCTTTATAACAAGTTCTATCTTTTATTTAATTTGTATGTAGAGAACAGTTTCACCAGAATTAAAGTCGAAGAGATAGAAACAAGAGAATGTAACTGCCCAAGACAAACAAATTATGTCTCAGGTCATGAAATAGTCATTAAAGCAATACACACAATGACAAATGGGATTTCCTTCTGGAGGACAGAACAGTAGAACATCAGAGGAAGAGAAAAACCTAGAAAATTACTTAAGTGGCAAGTAACTTTGGATCTATGCAAACTAAAATGACAGACCTGGAAAATTAAGCTATAAGAGAAGGCTGAAGAATTTTGTACTTCTACCAAATTATGAAGGAAGAAAGGATATGAGAAACATATTTCATCTAGCTACTGCTTGCAATGACTCTCATTTGCTTGCTCTTTCCTTACTCACCTGAATAAGTGCTTCTTGAGACTTCTCCTTCTGATATCCATGAGGCTTCTCCTCTTTCCAATAGGGAAATCACATCCGGTTTGGAAACAAAAATCCCTGGGGATAAAAGTGCATCTAAGAACTAAATTCTCCTCATGAAAAAAAGCCCAATTAAGAAAGCATATAGAAGACAGTATGAAAGACAGCTGAGGCATACTCTACTGCAGTGGTATCAAACTCAAATTGAACAGAAATAGGGCCACTAAATCATACAAAGGGATTAGGAGCCACTTACTGACTTAGAAAACCACATGTTAACATTATCCATGTTCTATTGTATTTTAATTTATTTTGTTACATACTTCTGAATTACACTTTAATCTGTGCCACCTCATGATATGAGTCACATGTTTGATACCTCTGCTCTACTGTATTTCAAGAGAGAATGGGTCACAAGTATAATTTTGAATAATAAAGAAAAATAGCTAATTTGACTCCTGTTCATGGTAGGGTTACAGCTCTGGTATCCAAATCAGGCATTACGCACTTTAAAGACATGTACTATACAAGCACCACACTACTCATAAGAAATACAAATACAAAGAATGAAATAATCTTTACTGTCAAGGAGCTTACACTTTAATGGGGAAGAAAACAGGTGAATGTATAAATATATGCATGATAAATATGCAGAGAATAAAATTAAATACAAACTAGTTTGAGAGGCATTAGCAGTCAGAGGGATCAGGAGAGTCTTCATGCAAAAGGTGGTAGCTTAAGTTGTATCCTAAATGAAAAAAGGGATTCTATAAGGTGGAGATAAAGAGGGAGAACATCCAGGAATACCAGAAGCACATAGACAGGAAGTAGAGCGCTGAATGAGGAGCAAAGAGATGGCCACTTGGACAAGATCACAAAGTGTTTGTGAGGGTAGGGAGAAGGGCACTGAGGGGCAGAAGAGAGAAAGGGGTACCTTCAGACAAAATCAAAGTGTTGAGTAAAATATAAGCTAATTCACACTGGACATAAACCGTTTATGATATAATAAACATGGAAAAGTCTTTTTTGAGAGAGAAAACCTCATTAGCCACCAGATCACGTACTATGTTATGTCTAATGATGCTAGAAAAACTGGTTGGTGCTAGATTGGAAAGGTTTTAAAAGCTAAACAGGAGTTTACTTTTTTTTTTTAATCTTAAAAGCAACAGGTAGCTACTGGAGTTGGCTAAGTAAGGGAGTGATATGATCAGATTTACATTAAGGCACATCACTTTGGCAGCAATGTGAATAATGAACCATAGTGAGAAGAGACTGCATACAGGAAGATCAATTTAGGAGACAAGTGCAATAACCTAAGCTAAAGGTGATGATGACCTAAACTAAGGTTGCAGTGGTCAGTCGTAAGGAAAGAAGAGGTCAGATTCAAGAGATGTTGTGGAGGTAGGAAACAGAAAGATTTGACAGCTGACTGCATAAGTGGGGTGAGGGAGGGTAAAGAGTTAAGAATGATGCTGAGATTACAAACCTGGGAAATTGGAAGAATGGTGAAACCTTTAACAGAAATAAGGAAGTTTAAGAGAGGAATGAGTTGGTAGAGTGAGGGAAGATAACAAGTTCAGTTTTTAATATGTTTAGTTCAAGATGTCTCCAAAACATCCAACTTGAAATATCCAACAGGTATCTGGTGATGCAAGACTGAAAGCTCAAGGGAGACTAGGCCTGTGTATATACAGATCTGTGAGTCACCTGCAAAAAGGGGATAATGAAAACCATGGGAGAGGAGATTATAAAGACAAAAAGTGGAGAGGGAGAGGGAGAGGGGGAGGGGAGAGGAAGAGGGAAAGAGAGAAAGACAGAGACAGAGAGAAAGAAATGAGTACAATACAGAGGCTTAGGGAATACCAAGTCAGTGAGTGTGCTATGAATGATGTGCCAGCAAAGAACTCTGAAAAGGAGGAATCAGATAAATAGGATGAGAATTAGGCCAGTAGTGTCACAAAAGCCCAAAAGAAGAAAGTATAGAGGAGGCAAGAGTGGTCAACAGTGTCAGATATAGCTGATAGGTCAAGAAAATGAGAACTTTAAAAAAAAGACCTTCAGATTTGGCAACTGCTCATTGGTGATTTTTAAGATTAGGCTGAGTTGAATGATAAAATTACAAGTCATATCATAAAGGACTAGTCAATGAGAGAAGTGGAAACAACGAATATAGACAGCTTTTTCCAGGAGTTTGGCTAAGAGAGATAGGATGAAAATCTGAGTGGGTGTCATGATCCTTTAAAAACCTTCACTGGATGAGGGAGATAGGCATGTTTGAAGGCTGGTGGGAAAGAATCTGTAGGGTGAAAATCTAAAGATGAGAGAGGGAGTAATTGAAGTTGCATTCATCTGGAGAGTTCAGATCAGGGCTAATTACAGAGGGGTTTGGCTTTGGCAAGAAGGACCACTTCAGAAAAGACTGGGAGATATCATCAAGGGGTTTTAAGATGAAGAGGATACCATGTCAAATGCCCTCAAAAATGTCAGTTTCTGTGGGGATTGTGAAACGGAATCACTTAGGAAGAAATCAAAAGATTGCCTTATAATAGTTAAGTTGAGTTGGATAACATGAACTTACAATGTACTCAGTCAGCACAAGTGAGTGACTTCTAGAGATGCTCACTAGCAAATGAATATAAGTAGAGGAGATGCATAAAAGGACTAATTTAGGGCTTTAACATGGTAAATGGGAGAATTCTAGAGCAGAAATCAATGTAGAGTTGAACTGGCTAAAGACAAGGTCAGAACTAAGAAAGAAGGAAAATGAAGTAAGAAAAATAATAGCCTGAAAAAAAGACTGAAGAACACTCAATGAGGAAGAAAATTGATTTAGAAAGGTTGAGGCTTAGGGAAAGATGGAATAATAGGATTAGAGGAGTGTCAAGTTTTGGTTCAGTTAGTATACTTGCGGGTAATGGAGAAATTTAGAATAATGTCACCCCTATATGTGGACGAGAAGGAGAAAAGAAGTCCTAGGATTTAAAAAGACTGAGAAATTCAAAAGTTAGGCAAATCTGAGGGAGTACCAATATAGATGTTGAAGTTATCAGTAATAAAGTTAGGGAAGAAGAAGAATACAGTAAGCCAAGTGCTGAACTTCTGATACGGAGGAAACAGGAAGTCCCTGTGGATTCTAGAATAAGGGAGTAACATGATCAGAACTATGACCTTTGACCTTCCCTGGGCCTTTACTAATTTTGCTCCAATTCATTTAGCATTTAAGTGCTTACTGCGTGCAGAAAATTATGCTGGGGAAGATACAGGTTTAGCTAAAATAAGTTCTTGTCCTCACAGAGCTTCCAGTATATGAAGCATAATTCCCTGTCAGGGTGAAATTCAGGCAGAATGTCAAGAGAAATTCTGGGAGGGAGAAATACGTTGGGGAAGAAAGAAAAGGCTTTCAGAAGGAAGTAGTTTCATAATTTCCCTGGAGCTTAGGCAAGAATCTTTGACCTGAAGGTACAGAAATAAGGAAAATGTTGTCTCAGGATTAGCTGAAGAAAGCTATGGGATTTCTATTTCTACTAAACAAAGAACTTCATCAGGGAAAAGACAGCAAATATTCTGCCTACTGGCCATTAACAATATTTGAATCCCTCTTATGTCAGGAAGTCTTAAATATTATTGCACAATAAGCCAAAACTTAGAGAAGTACTTCAAATACACAATAGCTGAAGAGTGGTAAAGTGAAGAAATGAAAATGGACTCCAAAATGGACAAATGGCAAATCATAGAGTACTATGCTTACCCATCGAGATGAGGTTCTCATAGTTCTCCATCATTACATTCCTGTACAAGTCCCTCTGTGCATGGTCCAGCTGTCTCCACTCCTCCCAAGTGAATTCCACAGCCACATCTTTGAATGTCATGGACTCCTGAATCAAGCACATTCCTGCTTACTCAACGACCACTACTCTCATGAGTCAGGGAGATGGCAGGATAATAAAGGGGAAGGTTCTCACTGGATTCAGAATTTTGAGTATTTCATGTCAAATATTTACAGATTTAACTACTTACATATTATGTTCCTCACTGTATACTATATACGGTAGCATGTGGATAGTTTTACTGCTCAAATTCACCCCAACAAATCCTATCAACTAAACCCCCAAAATTCAAGTACTTGAGTGCTCACACTCCAAATTACACAATATAACCAGCATACATCTTACAATTAGATATACTACCATTAGCAAGCATATTTCATGTATTAATTTCTAAATAACTATATTACAGCAATCATTTTCCATTACTGATAAACATTGTCTGAGTAGACTTGAACAGGAGATCGTAAACCATAAATGGTTTATCACACTAAGAATCCTCCCTATCTCCAAACAAAAAAACATCACAGGATCAGAGCTAGAACTAAAAGATACGTCAGAGACCAAATGGAGTTACCTTGCTGATTTTATAGATGAGGAAACTGAGGCTCAGGGAAATTAGATGATTTGACTAAGGTCACACAAGTAGTTAAGTATCAGAGACAGTATTCCCTCTGTCTCTCTAAAGGCACTGGTTCTTTTTTGGAACTGTGGAAATCTGGAATAAAAATCTTCCCCCAAATTATAATAAATATTTACTACCTACTTACTGTGTGCACAGCACTACATTAAGTTTCTCTGCAATAGTGAAAACTATAACTTCTCCATCTGTCTATACCCTTCCATAACATTTCCCAGAGAAGTTTTAAGAAAAATGCTAGGGACCTTCCTCTAGATTTCTTATTAAACAAGGATATAAATATAGTCTAGGCCGAATCGCATTCGTTATTCCTCTCCCTCTTTACATGACCAGTGACTTTATTTTATGGTCATATCTTTTTTGGCTATCTCTTTTATGCCTGTTCTTGTGCAAAAGTCTTCACAGGTAATATGTTATAGTCTATCTATGCCCACCATATGCCGCCCCGCCACCACTGTTACTTGGTTGACTTATAATTTCAATTCTTCAGAGATGATGGCACTCTGTGATTCATAGCAATAAAGGACAACTAAAAAAAATGACTTTAAAAGATTGGCTTTTGCTTCACACAAAAGCTTGGGGCCACTAACAGCACTGTACTATTTCCCATATCAATCCAGCCTGATGCTACTCAATTCTGAGAACAGTTCATTTCCTATCTATACGGTCTTTCTAAAATTAATGTACATAGTACATGCACACTTATATGGCTAGACAACATGGAACCAATACAATAATATCCTTAAACAGAAATATTTGGAAAACCTGATAAAGAGAACAGTATGAACTCTGTGTAGGAAATCCTCCATCGTTGTGGCAAACATTATCTCCCTGTTTTAAATATAACTTGCTTGACATAACTGACATAATCAGATGAAAAAAATGTATCTGCTATTGTACCCATCAGGAAATTTTGTGTGTCCTTTACAAAGACATGGAAAACATACTGATGGAGAGCTTTAAATGCCTGAATAATAGTAGTTAATATTTTTATATCATTTGATCCTCACAACAACTCCATAAAGTAATACTATTATTATACCTCTTTTACAGATAAAGAAACAAAGGCTGAAAGAGGTTAAATAACTTGCCCTGGGTAACACAGCTAGTAAGAATCTGGATAGGATTTGAACTTAAATCTTCTTGACTCCAAGTCCATTCAAAGTAAACATTAAGACACATATCTGCCTCAAGGTCACATTTTTCTCTACCAAATCATGTTTTTTCACACAGTCAATAAATTAACTCAGTGGGATCTTCCATTTTCTGGACTTTTCAACCAACTGTCTGATTGCCAAGCTGTGATACATTATACAATACTATCTGCAAAGACTCCATGTTTCCCTCTCATACTTTCTTCAAGAAAACATGTATTCATTTTTCTGTTAAAGATTTTATAGGTGTAGAGAACTGGTCTCATGGTTCAGTACTGAGATGTCTTCAAAAGACTTTTTCTGAAGTAGTAACTTTTCCCAAACAGCTATAAAATACTCCCATTGATATCTGGGAAATCAATCTTGTAATATTCTCAAAATTGCAGAGCCTCCAGCATGCAGTTAGGTGGGTAGTGTGAACCGGGAGTCAGGAAAATCTGAGTTCAAATTCAACCTTAAGCACTCACTAGCCATGTGAACATGGGCAAATTACTTAACTTGTCTGACTTAATTTCCTCATCTAAAAAACAATGGGAGTAATAACAGCATTTATCTTCCATGGTTGTAACTAGGATAAAATGAGATAAAGTGTTTTACAAACCTTAAAACACCATAAAAATTCTAATTGTTTTTATTAATAATGATAATGATGATGGTCTGGTAAAATTTCTTCACAAAATTCTTTCTAATTCTAAATGCATTTATTTTGTTGATAGGAAGGTTTTCAATTTGACCATTTCAACATGTCACTTTTATCTTTACTGATCATCACTATCCTTTGTTCAGGTAAGAATTCTCCTCCTACCCAAAGCCTTGAAAAGTATCATTATCCTTTCTCTAATTTTTTTTTAAATTATAGGAACTTTTATACTTAAGTCATGGCTTCATTTGGAGTTTATCGCGGAATATCGTATAACGTATTGGTCTAAACCTAACTTTGGACAGATTGTTTTTGTTTTTCCAGCAGTTTATTTCAAAAAGGGATTTCTTTTTATATTCAAATTTGTTTTTAATAATTAAGGTCACATTGAAAATGAAAATTTACTAAAACATTGATCTGTTCTAGTTGTTTTTTTGTCTTTGCTTTAATATAATTTCTATTTCTGCATGAATGGTATAATGTTAAGTGGGCGAATATTATGGCTACAATGGCACTGACAGACAAAAGAAACTATGACAGAAATCTTGATAAATATTCCCTTTCTTGTTCCTTGTCCTCCCTCCAGTTTTATCCATAAATATTCTCTGTATGATCTGGCTTCACTGGATCTCATGCCAAGCTTCTGCAAATCTGTTTCTCCCTCTACTGCTCACTGCTGTTTTCTGAGTTGATACTGTTCATCAATACAAAACCAGTATTGGAAGTAACCTTCATCTGGCACAAATTACGACTTAAATCCTGATCTCTTTACTATCCTGAATGGTCTCTGGACAGTCCTCCTTTATCAATAGCCTTCCTAAACCGTGAGGTCACAAATGAACTCAATACTTCAAGTGTTATCGTTCTTTCTGGTCACTAAAGAATGAAAACAACTCCAGCAAACTGAATTTTCCTCCTTCACAAGTTCCTTCCCTTTCTCCTACTTTGTATGCGTTCTCTGCCTTCTCTGCCCCTTTGTCTTACACATTCTCTTCTTTTATCTGGGCACAGTTTTTGTGCCCAGATACAATGCAATACACTTTCAGAACAGAGGTTCATTCTTATCTTTGTATTCCCAGTTAGCTTGCACATGTTGCTGTTCAGTCGCGTCCAATTTTTGGTGACCTCATTTAGAGTTTTCTTGGCAAAGATACCAGAGTGGTTTGCTATTTCCTTCACCAGCGCATTTTACAGACGAGGAAACTGGCAAACGGGGTTAAGTGACTTGCCCAGGGTCACACAACTAGTAAGTGTCTGAGGCTGGATTTGAACTCAGAAAGGTGAATTGTCCTGATTCCAGGTCCGGCACTCTATCCACGGAACCACCGCTCCTTGCACATACCAGATACTGAATATGCTTAATGAACTGAATTTGAGAATCGAATTTTTGAGGAATAAAATATTGAAAGTATCTTATAAGTAGGAGGAGCCCGTTCCTCCAGTCCAGTCTCTGGCCCACATTCAGATGCTTAGCTTCCATCAGTCAGGGACGCTAGTACAGGCAACAACGTCCTCCTGCCCCTCCCCTCCCCTCCCCTCTCCTGCCCCGCAGCAGCACTTCTGGGAAACTCTCCTCCAGTGGAGGGTAGAAAGGGGGAGGGGAGGCGTTGGGTGTGCTTGGCGGAAGGGCGCGGGGAGGAAGAGTGACGGACCCTAGGCCGCCACCCCCGGGCCATCCTGTCCCCCACATCCCCAAATCCCGTGCCGCCCCGTGCCTCACCTTTCCCGCCTCCATCTCCAAGAATAATCCAGTCCGGACCTCACGGATCTCGTCCACCGTAGATGACGTCTTCTCATCGCCTCAGGTTCAGACCGCCCGCCCAAGCCGTGACCTCCTCACTGCTCTGCGCCCCACCCCCGGCCCGGCCCTCCTCGCTCCGCCCCGCCCCGTATGCTAGACCGGGGCCTAAGTAGCTGCGCCGTCAAGATAGCGCAGGCGCATCAGGGACCGGAGGGGCAGCTCAGCACCGAAGGAGCAGGCGGAAAAGGCGGAGTCTGATACTCCAAACTTCCCCACCCTCCTTAGGGACCGGAAATGTCGTCACTCCCTCAGCTCCTAACTTCCGGAAACCCAGCCGTGCGTGATGAAAGGCAGGGGCCCTACAGTAGAAGAGGGTGGAGTGAGGGGCACAGACGGGACAGGAAACTTTCTGGCCTTCACCGAGGCTGCGCAAGGCTATACCTCTCTGATTGCAGTGTATCCCCAGGAAAAAGGCGGGGAGCACCACGCTGTAGGCCGAGGCTACCTAGTCATGCATCTGGAATGCCCCGTTCTGGTCTGGCCGTTCCGTTTGGGGATGGACACTACGAAGTTGGAGGGCATCCAGAGGAGAACCACCAGGAAAATGAAAGGATTGGACACAATGCAATACAAGTATCAGCTGAAGAAACTAGAGCTCTTTAGCCTGGAGAAGAGCTGACTTAGGGGGACATAATAGTTGTCTCCATAAAATTAATGGTTTGTTATGAGAAAGAGGAGAACTTTGTAAAGGCAGAACTAGGAATACAGTTTGATTTTAGGGAAAACTGCCTAACAGTTTAGATCTGTACCCAGTTGGAATGGCCTGCTGGTTTCCTTTCACTGAAGTCTTTCAAGTTAAGGGTAAATAACGGCTTGTTTAATTTGTTACAGTATGAGGCTTAATTTTCTCCTGAACTCCAGTCTCCCATAACCAGTTTGTTTCTTGGATGTTTTGAACTGGATATCCTTTGGACATGTCAAACTCCACATGGTCAGAACAAATTTTTATTCCTAAATTTTCATTTCTTTCTAACTTTCCTATAACTGTTGAAGACACCATTCTCCCAGTCACCCAGACTTGAAACCTGGTTCTCAACTCCCTGCTGTTTACACTATATATTAAGTCTTTTGTTGTATTGTTATCTAGTTATTTTTACCTTCAGAAGATCTATATGTCCCCTTTGGTCCACTCACACAACAGCCATCCGGTATTGGCCTTTACCACCACATACCTGATATATTGCACGTGGCAACCTGGTCTCTTTGCCCCAAATCTCCCCCTACTTCATTCTATCAACCACTCAGTTGCCAAAAGGATTTTTCCAAAGCACAAATCAGACCATATCACCACCACCCCTTACACACATGGAATAAACTCCAGGGGTTGCTCCCTATTACCTAAAGGATCAAATATAACTTTATAAAATCTTGTTTGGCTTTTGAAATGTTTCAGAACTTGGCCCCTTCCTATCCTGCATATGATACCGCCTGGAACGATCCAGTGAGGTGGGAGGCATTGAATAAAAATAAGAAGGGGGGGGTGGAAACATAAGGAGAGAAGAGAACACAATTTTGAACAATCATTTGTACATGTTTCATCTGTTGTGTAACAGTTAAAGTCATAGTGATTATATTATTTTTCAAATCACACAAAATGCAAGTTATGATGGAGCAGTGGTCAAGTCCACTGACAGGCCAATGTGTAGCGCATTGGAGGAAAGTCCAGCATGCATGGGTAGGAATATGTGCATGTAATGATTTGTTTATGATACGATACTATAGGTTACATGATGCAATATTGCATTACTAGCTAAGTCACCCTGGGCAAGTCACTTAACCTCTATTTGCTTCATTTTCCTCATCTGTAAAATGGGGATAATAATAGCACCTACCTCCCAGCATTGTTGTGAGGATCAAATGAGATAGTAATTATAAAGCACTTAGCACAGTAGCTGGCACAAAGTAAGTTCTATATAAATGTTAGCTATTATTAGTCCTGCTCATATTCTAGGATCCCATCATTCTGTGAACCTGTATCCACACCTGTAGAGGAACAACCTTTACATTATTTGTAACAAAAACACTCACCCTTCATTTGAAAACCTCCAGTGAAGGGAAACTCACCATTCCCCAGGCAGCCCTCTGCAAACTAGGACAGCTCTATTTTTAAAAGGGAATAAGTTCTTTAAAGAAGTTTAGAAAGGAATTATCCTTACATCAAGCTGAAATCTGCCTCATTTCAGGTTCCTCCCATCACCCTCCTTCTGCCCTCTGGGCTCATGTGGAACAAGTCTAATCTCTATTTCCCGTCATAGCCCTTCAATATATGAAGAATCCCTCTCCTGGCTGCATTACTGACTCATCTCCATATACCTTTCTCTACCATGTGGTGGAGACCTTTTTACCCTTGGAGCTCACACCACCCGTGAGCTATATCCAACATTCCTCCTCTGCCCTCTTTGGCTTCATCTCCAGATTGGTTGGTGCCTCCCAGAACCTCCAATTTAAGGAGGAAGCCCAGGCCAAAGACATCTTCATCCCTCTCCAGGCTGCACTGGCCACTATTCAGCCCCTTTTTCACATGTTGTCTTTTCCCATTAGACTGTAAGCTCCTTCAGGGCAAGGACTGACTTTCTGCTTCTCTTTATATTCAAGACCCTAGCAGGGTGCCTGGCGCTATTTGTTATGATGTTGTTAGTCCTTTCATTACCCTTTCTGGGAGTTTTCTTGGCAAAGATACTGGAGTGGTTTGCAATTTCCTTTTCTAGCTCATTTTCCAGGTCAGGAAATTCAGGTAAACAGGGTTAAGTGACTTGCCCAGGGTCACATAGTAAGTGTCTGAGGCTAGATTTGGACTCATGAAGATGATTCTTTTGCCTCCAGGCCCAGTACTTTATCTACTTGGCCACCTAGCTGCCCTGCCTGGCACCACACTAAGTACTTAAATGCTTGTTGATTCATTTGACTGACAGCTATCATGTCTCCCAAATCTGTTCTTCTCCAGACCAAAGATTCTAAATTCCTTCAACTGATCCTCGTACTGAGCTGTCTTCAATCTTCTCACTAGCCTGGCTATCCACTTCTGGTTATTTCCAAATTGATAATGCCCTTCCCAAAATTCGGTACCCAAACCTGACCAAAATACTCCAGATATTATCACATTAGGACAGAGTGCAGCACAACTATCACTTCTCACATTCTGGACACTGTGTCTTTCAACTCCAATTTACATTAGCTGTTTTGCATGACAAATCCCATTGCTAATTTACTGAGACTGTAATCTACTTAAACCTTAAAATCTTTCACATATCATCCATTGTGTCACCACTCTTGCCAGACCTAGTACTTGCACATTAGACTCTTGAAATCTAAATGAAGAACTTGAAGATTATCATGTCAGTGTCCATTTCTCATGTATAATTTGTACAACATGTATAACTTTAGTTCTGCTTTGGGTCTAGCCAGTGTACTGGGAACTTTCTTCAGATCTTTTGATCTAGGTATTTCTTGATATTACATGGATATCATAAACACACAGGCTGTCAGCTGTGTCACCCTTGCAATCAGTGCGTAACAGGGTAACTTCCTGGGAAGTTACTAATTTAAAATGTGTCACAATCTGGTCACATTCACCATATGTCTCTCCATTCCCATTTGGGTAATCTTCAATCTCAATTCTCCAGAGATTCTTAAATTCCATCAAAGTATGGTCCTTCAAAAATTAAACTAAATTATCACAATGGAAAAATTGCAAGTCATCTTTGACATTTGCAAAACCAACCCCAATCTCACCCCTAATGGAGTGCACACCATTTGATCATAGGTCTATTTTTCCTTTATCCTAGATATATTTTCTATATCCCTATATCACATATATATCCTTAATATCCTAGTGATAATGGGCAAATCACTTTTTCTCTCTGACCTCTAATTTTTCTCATCTATAAAGACTTTGGACAAGATGCTCTCTTAAGCTCATTAGCATTAAATTCTATGATGTTATGATGATACATGCCTAATAAAAATAAAAACAACAGAAACCCAAGTTAGCAACTGGTTAAAAATTTGCTCTAGAGAGAGAGAGATAAGAACTTGAATATGGCTGTCCATTTGGACCCCTCATTTGCAGGTATCTTTGAAAATGTCTGTACGGACACAAATAATCTACCTCTCCCTCCCACTAGATTATATTGTATATAGATTTCTCAAGGACACCATTAGAATGATATCATGAGAAATCCAAGTCTTGCCAGAAGCTCATGCTAAACCCAAATAGTATGAAAAATGCTTTAAAAGAATTCAATAAAAGGAAGTAATGGAGTGAGAAGAGAGCTTTACAAAGCAGTAGTAGGTATATATTAGTAGTGAGAGCTGAAAGCGCTGGCAAACAAGATGACCACTGTGTTTGAGGTGACGTGAAAGTAAAACATAAGACAGAAGACTAGCACTATAATGGACCTACTGCAACAACCTGTTGGGGGCTTCCTTTAAGTAAGGAACATAATCTCTCAAGTCAAGAAACAATCAGATTCTCTTCCATAGCACTTACATTTATTTACTCATCCAATCTTGAAGGTACAAATGAACCAAGGAAGAAATATTGGTACCTATTTATATAAAATACTACTAGTAGCATTATTCATAACAGCAAAAAGGTAAAAATAATCCATTTTACACTAGGGAAAAGAGGTTGGCAGAATGAGGGGTTTTTTTGGTTTGTTTTGTTTTGTTTTTGGTGAGGCAATTGGGGTTAAGTGACTTGCCCAGGGTCACACAGCTAGGAAGTGTGAAAGTGTCAAGTTTCTGAGGCTAAATTTGAACTCAGGTCCTCCTGACTCCCAAGGCCTCAGCTCTATTCACTGTACCACCTAGCTGCCCCCTAGAGTGAGTTTTAAGAAAGTGATGTAATAAAGATAAGGCAGAATAAATGACACTAAAAATAAGAACAACAATAATAATAACTAATATTTATAAAGAGATTGCTATGTTACTGTGCTAAGTACTTTACAAATATTCTCTTTTGGTTCTCACAACAACCCTGGAGGTGGGTGTTGTTATCTCCATTTTACAGATGAGGAAACTGAGGCAAACAGAGGTGAAGT